TAGTTGCTTTTTAATTTTGACATAAAAGTAACTAAAAAAATAACTATATTTATTTACCTGAATTCACTCTACCTTCCCAGATTTTTCATTTTCGCTCACAAATAATTATTGTATTACCTCGAACGTCAAGATTTTCCATTGTTTTTAAACATTTGGCTACAAATTCTAGGAATTTTACTCGATCGTACAGGTAGACCTAAATATAATCATTGTTTTCAGACGTAACCTGATATGATGTAATATCGCACAAAAATATCATCGTAGATTAATATTATAATCATTAAAAAATATATTTTCTGTGCAAAAAATCGAGTTTCTGAATGTTTTTTTACAATCATGCAGAAAATCATCAAATGTCATTTTAAAATGTAGGTTATCTATGAAATGTAGGGTTAAGTTTAATGCTTTTCTATTGGCTCCGAGAAGCCGACGGAACGGGAAAGTTAAAACTTGGCCAACTTTCACGTTCGCGTTCCCGTTGCCGTTTACGTTTATTGTGCATGCATACATTAAATTTGGCCTTTTTAACTTTTTTCCCGTTCGCGTTCCAGTTCCCGTTCCCGTTACCGGGCTATTGTGCAGCGGCCTTTACACATGCGTGGGGCCGTGTTGCCAGATGTAATTTTATTCTAATATTATTTTCGTTATTATAAAGCTAAAAATATTTTATATTGCATAATTTATAAAGAATTAATAAATTATGTTTTTAAGTAGGTATTAATAATAAAAAGAAGTATTATTTTTTCAATTTTATAAAAATGTTTTTAGCATTAGAAATTTGGCTACGTCTTATTTTATTACCCAAGGACTTATTGCCAAGGAGATTATAATCGAACATTTTGGTTACAGTACAAACCATTTTTGGTTTATTGTTTCCAGCAAAACAGTTCGTATTTTAAAACTAGTTTTCTAATATTTTTTTAATATAACCTAAATTCTTCTTCTTCTTCTTCAATCTGAACACAGATGCACTGTGTTCAGGGGTAATGGCCTTTAGCCTAATTAAAAGCTATTTGGCCAGCTCATTATGTTTTTTGAATATTTATATATGTTCAAGGGTCTCAATTAAGAGAATCTGAGTACAACTCATCCCTTAAATCATTTATTTTAAATTATTAATATTCATCGTTCATTTTAATATTAATTTATGTCTAATTTCTTTCACAAATTTCACTGTATCACTTAAAAAAAAATTTTCACACTTATTTTTCGATATATTCTTGTTTATTTATTAATATGTCCATTTTCTTTCTTCGTTTCTTTTCAATACATTTAACATTGTCCAAAATTACTTATCATCATACATAACATTACACTTTTAAAATCATCCATATAATTTAACCATTAAATATTTCGTACCAATTTGTTTTTCATGTATACATTTTTTATTGTTTAACCTTCATTTTGTAGTCCATTCCAACCATGCACCATGGCGAATGGCTCAGTGTATTTTTGTACTGGGAGTCCCATGTTGTCTTCTCAAGGAAGGCCGTCTACGACCTGTCTGCTTCAGCAGACAACACAAAACTGGCCTAAATTCTTAAACTGACATTTGGATTTATTCATAACCAACAAACATTATTGATTTTTTAATCTCCCACTTTTGAACTGCACGTGCGCAAAAGGTAGAGAGTAGCCTTCGGTCATCTATGCCCAGATAGCACACATACGTCCACTGGATATCCTTAGGACGTCAACCCAGGACATAGTGGACGTCCTACGGATATCCGAAGACCACGAATGGACGTCCGTAGGACTTCCAAAGTAGACACTTTTGGTTGTCCTTTGGCCGTCCTATAATGGTCTATTAAAGACTGTCCTAGGACCAAATTTGGCCATAATTTGGCTGACAGGAATAAAAACTAAAACACCTAAAATTTTTAACCAAACATTTTTATTCACCTCTATTATAATTACAGCACAAATGTCCAGAGGACGTCCAAAGGATATCCCCTGGACATCTCAGTGTCCAAATGACATCCATTGGACGTCCACTGCCGGTAAATTCGAAATTCAGACATTCCTTGCTTTGCGCTGACTTCAACTGGTCTGGTCCACCTACAATGTATTTTCCCTATGACAAAGGCTATGTATAGCTTGCAAATGAAGGAACGGTATATGAGCTCATGAGCACCACATAAAAAAAATTCACGGTTAAATAGGAATAAAAGCTTTTTTAGATATTAAATAAATAAAAGCTTTTCTAGATAAAAATAAAAATGATAACCTCACTTTGTAGTTTGGTTGTTGTAAAATTTTGATGTAGGGCTTTGGGAGGATAAAATAAAATTTAGAAAGTATAGAAAGAAATCCCTTGGAAAGTAAAAACAATAAAAATGTGTTTTTATAAAATATTTTTTTTAAATCCTTGTTTTCACGATTTGTTTACGCCCAATTATGAGTGCAACCGTAAATTTTGTTTGTGTGGTACAGTCTATTAGTCAAAACAAACCTAATCTAATTACTTACTTGAATTTATTCTATTACAAGTCTATAAACAGCCGATACCTAGTAGAAATCACAACACACAATGTAGAAACACCGCCATAAACGCCATCACACAGCAAAAGAACGCCATTGCAACGGATTATGGGAAGCGTCGTCACGAACCCGTTCGGTTCTACCCGAAGAAGACCGATGTTTAAAATTTAAAACTATACGTTATAATAACGGTGTTTTTATACATTTAAACGTTATAGCGTTGAATAAAGAAGTAGTGAACTTATTAATCAATGGTAATAGAATTTAATTGAATTTAAAAATGATGCAATAATGGATTTTACTACCTTTACGTGATAACAAGAAATTTTAAATTAAATATAAATGTATAAATCCCGACGAATAGTACGAATATGTATTATAAACTACCTATATTCAATAATAAACTTAATTTTTTTGTAAATTAATCTTTCTTATAATAAGGCTAATCGATTTGATTGACTCTCTGTGACACCCTCAGGCTGTCCCACGAACATCCAAAGAAGGCAAAAGAGAAACCTCATAAAAATAGGTGGTTTATATAATTTGTACATGATATTTAATATTACCCACAATTTATTACATATCCGAAATTTCTTGAACGAAAAGTTTAGGCATGATAGCCCATGGGTGCACCCACATAGGTAGTACAAGATGTCCAAAGGATGTCCAATGGACGTCATTTGGACATCCTGTGCTGTGTGAGCAGGAACGTCCAATCTAGGTAATTCTCGACTTAGCCAGGCCGAACGGGTCTGGGACATCCATAGAACGTCAATTATAGACCTGGTCCGGCTAAGCCTTATTTGGCTTACTTTGGACGTCCAAAATACGCCTAATCAGGCTAAGCCGGACAGGGTCTAGACTTGACGTTCTATGGATGTCCCAGACCCGTTCGGTCTGGCTAAGCCGAGAATTACCTAAATAGGACGTCTGTGGGTTATCTTGTGCTATCTGGGTGGTAGCCTCCCCTTAAAAACGGGAACAAAGTCATCTATTCAAAATAGACATTTATAGACATTTTTAGGCTGTTTCATAGAATACATTTCAGGGAATCACAAATACAGTTGTATTCATTAAAAAAGCGTACAAGAATTAGAATGAGAGAAAACTGTCAAAATAATATTATTGCTTAAAACCGGCTTATCACTGACATAAGTCATTAAAATAATTACTATAGGTTATAAAGAGCATTGACGTCGTAGGTTAATTAAATAATATTACAAAAATTATTACCTTTTAGAAATCAAAAAAAAACAAACATTAAAAAAAATTTAATATTTAGTCATGCATCCCTGTTTTTCTATTACTTGAGCCAATCTATTTGGGATGAACTGAATTAAATTTAATACAATATTTGGATTTATATCTTCTCAGCAGTATAGTAGGTATAGTATAGTTGTATAGTTTCCCATAAATCCTCAGATATCCCAAAAAAGCAGCATCCTGTTCAGGGGTGGACATTTTGGGACGACCTGAACCAACTTTTTGGTTTAGTAAATCTTCCTGTTCCCAGCGTTGCTTAATTTTTAATATAGATTTTTATTTCTATTATACCACAGTACGAATTGACCATTCTTCTTCGATTCTTGATACTATTTGAGACTTTTTAACTGACGAGACATTTTTATTTTCTACTGTCAGTTATAGTGACTTAAGTCAGTGGAAAGCCGGTTTTACGCAATAATGTTGACAGTTTTCTCTCATTCTAATTCTTGTACGCTTTTTTAATGAATACAACTGTACATCGCAGAATCTGTTTAAATATGCCCCTGACAAGGAGTAATTATTGGTTATATTTTTTATTTGTTTAGTACCTAGTTTTTTTATATTTAAACTTTCGATACCGATACTTAAGAGGCAAGAAAGTATCGAATTGGTATCGGTATCGATACTTTCTACTATTTTCGCAAAAGGAGTACAGCAATCAGAAGAAGAAGAACATAAAATCTTAAAATTATGACGTAACTAACTTGCCTTTAACATTAAATTTTGCCTTTAACAATCGCGGCCCGTTAGCGTGCCTCTAGTCACAGCGTGCCTCTAGTCACAGCGTATATATACCTAACCTACAAATGTATATAGTCGAAGGTCGAAGTTTTGCATAAAATACCCAATGCATAATAATAGTACTTAATTAAAATAAGCAAAATTGACATGCCTATTAAAAATGTACAACTGTACATCGCAGAATCTGTTTAAATATGCCCCTGACAAGGAGTAATTATTGGTTATATTTTTTATTTGTTTAGTACCTAGTTTTTTTATATTTAAACTTTCGATACCGATACTTAAGAGGCAAGAAAGTATCGAATTGGTATCGGTATCGATACTTTCTACTATTTTCGCAAAAGGAGTACAGCAATCAGAAGAAGAAGAACATAAAATCTTAAAATTATGACGTAACTAACTTGCCTTTAACATTAAATTTTGCCTTTAACAATCGCGGCCCGTTAGCGTGCCTCTAGTCACAGCGTGCCTCTAGTCACAGCGTATATATACCTAACCTACAAATGTATATAGTCGAAGGTCGAAGTTTTGCATAAAATACCCAATGCATAATAATAGTACTTAATTAAAATAAGCAAAATTGACATGCCTATTAAAAATGTTAAGTGGTACACTCCTTAGAAGTTTGAATAAATCCTCAGTCATGCTCAGAAATTGTTCTTCAGGGTCAAATGACCTTAAGTGTAATAAAATAAACTATAACCACTACAATTTGTTTGTAATAAACTGTGTTATTTGCAGCTTTACTAATAACTAAGATGGGCAAGGTGGTAACGATAGGAATCAACAGGCCAAGTAAAAGAAATTGTGTTGATTCAAAAACTGCTAATCTCCTTAAGGGTGCAATAAAAGAGTTTGAAGAAGATAGTTCTCTACATGCCGGTGTATTATATGGCACAGGGGGTAATTTTTGTGCTGGGTATGATTTAAATGAATTAGCAAATCTAGACAAGGTCGATTATTTAAATACTATTAATGATGAAGGAAGTATGGTAAAAATATTAAATTTATTTATATTTTAAATCTTTTTGCTCTATTAATTATTAGGGGCCAACATTACGACACATTAAAAAGCCAATGGTAGCTGCTATAAGTGGTTATGCTGTAGCTGGTGGCCTAGAATTAGCTTTAATGTGTGACTTAAGAGTAATGGAAGATACAGCTATTTTGGGGGTTTATAATAGAAGATTTGGTATTTGTTTTATTTGGATTTACTTATCTATATCTAATTAATGTAAATTTTAGGTATACCCCTTGTTGATGGAGGTACCGTAAGATTACAAGCAATGGTGGGTCTTTCCAGAACATTGGATTTAATTCTTACAGGGAGATCTTTAACCGCTAAAGAAGCCCTGGAATGGGGGGTGGCCAATAGAATTGTAGCCTGTGGCACTGGTAATATGCTAGTATATATGTATATGGATTTTATTACAATTTTTTTGGGGTTTAATAGATAACTGGGTGTGCTATTTTGAAATTTGGTACTTTCTATGAAAAATGATTTCTAAATCAGAGCATGGCAATCTCAGTGAGAATTTCTCACCACCTCATAAGATTGCACTGTTCTGATTGGTTTATTGTTTTCTATAGAAATTGGTTTTATAGAAAGTAAAAATTGCAATATTTTACAACTTTTAAAAATGAAGTCGGAAGGATCCTGTTTTCCTTAAACTTTTGTTTTGTTTTTTAATTATTTGGTATAATTTTTAAATCTTTATTTAGATTTTCAAAAAAAGTTTAAAAACTTTTGTTTTTAAAAATATAAAATAAAAGTAGCGGATTTAATCTTGCAAGTATTTACCAAAATAAAAAATTGTACATTATAGACCAGGTGGAGAAAGCAAATATTATATAATTTAGGCAAGCTTACATTTCACAGCCGAGGCAGTATACTATAGATTGTGTACGAGGCAATTAATAAGCTTTTGCCGCTGGGTTTTATATACCTACTACTTTTCTCCAAACATTTAATTATAATATTTATTGAAGATTTTGAAACCTAATTTTTTGAGCACGGCATTCTCTAGCACACAAGATTTCAATTGATAATGTCCTGTTTTGATTGGATTATTGCTTTCTATAAAAATCGTTTCTATACCTAGAAAGTAAACATTGCAATCCTTGCAACTATGAAAAGTAAAGTCGCAAGCTTGCGAGGATCGTGTTATCCCTAAACCTTTCTTTTGTTTTTTAATGACTTTGTATAAATTTTAAATCTTTATTTGTTAAGACCCTTATATTAAAGCTTTAAATAAATTGAATTAATCTTGCAGGTATTCGCCAAAATAAAAATATATCCACGTCACTTTTGCCCCCCACCTGTCCAAAAATTGAAGCCGCCTAAAAATATGTCTAACGCCTTATGTTGAATGTTGAATATGAGTAAACAAAATATCATCAAATTAAAACCTATGCTTCAAAAAATTATAATTTTTATTGGGTTTTTTACCAATATGGCGCCCTACACGGCCATTTTGGATTTCGTACACTTTGTATTCGAAAGTGTATGTCCCAACGAAAATTGTAAGCCGTTACAACGGTTGCCCCAATTTTTGGACAGATAGTGGGTTATAATGGGGTTATAGGGTCTTAGATATGCTGGGTTACATAATTTTCAATTGTCAATGTAAAAAATTTAATAATTCAAATCTTAAGGAGCTAAAAAAAGATGCTTCAAAAGTTTATGATTTCACTTTTTTTTTGGCCAATTTGGCGTCCTACACGGTCGTCATTTTGGTTTTCGTTAATATGCCATTTCGTATTCGAAAGTGTATGCCCTAAAGAAGATTTTAAGGCGATAGTCATATTTTTAGGTGTTGTCGGTTTTTGGTTCTTAAAAGAACCGTAGGTCTGACGACGTTTCGGTACAATCAAGACGTGGACTTCACGTATATATATATATTAGGGTGGTCGTTAAAAATTAAATTTTTTGCGACGCCCCCTAAAAATCTTTTTTTTGATTTTAATTAAAAGCAAGACGATCTTATATTTTTGGTATAATCATGTTTTTTGGGAATTTTTTATGTAAAATAAAATTTCGAAATATAAACAATTATAGAACCCAAATCAATAAAAAAACAATAGTTAATCGAAATAACAATAGACAAAAATTTAAATTCAAAATTTTTCCCAGTTGATTTGGTCTATTAAATAAAAACATGAAAGATATTCAAATTGATATTTTTATTTTAAAACTAAATTAGTACAAACTTAATTGTAATATCTAGACTCCAACGTGAAGTTATTTCATTGTTTATAATTTTTATATTTCAAAAAAATTATTAGGTATTCCATATTTTCAGAAAAGACATGATTATACCAAAAAATTAACTTAGATCGTCTTGAGGCACGTGTTGTTTTTAATTTAAAAAAAAATTCAGTGTTTTTTCATAAAAACGAAGCTTTTTAGGGGGCGTCGCAAAAAATTTAATTTTTAACGACCGTTTTTTCTAGAGAATAAATATTTTGTTATAAAAAATTGTCAGTTTTTTTATTCCCCAATTTTAAAAAACACTTAATTTAAAATTAATAAAAATTCAATCTTTTAATTTTAAAATTAAAATGTATACAAAATTTAAAATGTTTAGTTGATAATACGTATTTTTATTTCCCAGTTCTTTACGTTTTACTTGTTTTTAGCTCTTGGCCAGGCAATAAGTTTAGCCACATCACTAGTCAAATTTCCCCAAGAATGTCTTCAAGCCGACAGAGAATCAACTTATAACGCGGCATACAACTCAGCCTTTAGGGAATTATCGAAATTTGAACAGAATACTGCTAAAAGAATATTTAAAGAATCCATAGAAGGGGCTAAAAAATTCGTGTCAGGTTTTGGGAGACACGGTAAATCGTATAATTTGACCGAAAAAGATATTTGTGATTGGGAGAGAGAATTTAAGAGCAAATTGTAAATAAATTAGTTTGGTAAGAAAACACTGTTTTATTGTTTCCCAATGTGACATTGATTAAGAGTAACACAGATATATATTATTTATTTAAAACATACGTGTAAATTGTATTAAAAACCAATATCAGAATTTCTTTTTAATGTTTTAGGTCGTTTAATAGATAACGCGCTTACATCAGCATTTCCTTCGCTATGAGTTTGACTTCTAATTTCACTTCTTCTAATATGTTTTACTTCAGATTTTGGTGGATTAGCGGGGTTTGGTTGGTTTAATGGATCCTATACAAAAATATAAAAATAACAAATGTAATAAATATAATAGTTAATACCTTTGTCACAACCCCATTCATAAAATTAATATACTCAATGGAACCTTTATCCAAAATGGGAACAAAAACTTTTTTGTTCTGTTTCACTACAAATAATTGTTAAAAATAATTCATAAAAAACAATACCTTCATACTCATGGCAACTATTGCATAATACGTTTCTTTTGTTTTTAACACTTTGGATCCTTGTGTAGAGGGTGGATATTTTGAAAGTTTTAATCTATCCCCATTTACATGGGCCAAATCAATCATTTCTTAAAAAAGGAAACTTTAACAAGATCGGTAAATAAGATCTATTGAAATATAGATGGCGCTGTAAACAGTCAATTAAGTAGGTAGGCCGCGTTAGATAAACCCATGCATCTCGCTAACGTTGACATAGTTCACTCGTTTATAAGCAGAAAGCGACAAAACAAAAAATGTCTTCAGTAGGGTCTTAACTGATCCACTGTGGCGAGTGATGAACTTGGGATATGATTTATGATTATTATCCGCTTGCCGACTGGGGATCGCAACCTCCTTTCGGTAATTGTCTGACGCCAAAGACCACTTTTTATATAATTAATACAAAAATTTACCAATTCCTCCAAAAAATCCAATTTCTGTGCAAATATAATCCATAATTATTTGTATTGGGCAAAATATGTGAACCAATAAAATTTTATTAGACGCATCAGGCTGTGGAACTGTGAAATCCGTGTCTTTAGTAGCCTGTTGCTTTGAATGTATGGAATAATCTGGAATATAAAACAAGTAAATTTGCCTGTATTATTTTATTACTCTTTTTAACACACCCGTATATTTTATGTAACACAACATCGATTTCACACAAATTTCCTTTATGTTGTCATTCAAACTACCGTTGCCATAGCAACGTACATACATAATCCTATTGTTTACCTGGTGCATCAGTTGAATGACTTTAAAATAATTTTAATAATGGATTGGAAATATTTGTTATCTTTATCGCCAGAGGATTTAAACGACGATAAAAAAGATGAACTTTTTAACTTGGTTACTTGGTTCGATAATGATAAAGAAGAATTAAATTTCAAAAAGTGCTTCAGTTTGTTTAGAATTAGCCAGGAACTTTTAAAGTATAAAGGAGAGCAAGTGGAAACTCTTTTGCAGGAACTTGACGAGTTAGCCACTAAGCAGGGTGAAGATGACACCAGGAGATTAGAGTCTGATACTGATATAATGAGTTCCAAATCGAGGAAATCTGGTTCCATAGAATTTGAAAGTAAGCATTTATTTTTTATTATGTTTTTTTATTTATGTATACAGGATGTCCCAGAATTCGCGCTCCACCTTAAAGGTTGATGATCTACAGACCCCCAAATATCTCAGAAAATAGTTTAAAAAATTCTACCTTTATTATTTAAGAATGTAGAGTGTGTCCCTGGATGGAGTTACCTATAGGAAAAACTTTTTTCTACTCCTATTACGGAATTTGACCCTTCTAATATCACTTTTATCTATGGAATGACATATATTCCGTAAAGTGTTACAGAATGAAATATTTTATCATCTGATGACAGAATAAACACTCGTGGCGACATCTCTGTTTTTAATATCTAACAAATTTTAGACCGATCCAACCTCACTTTCTTCCAATTAAATTATTTTTCTATGGTATTTTTTGTAAACGTAGAAAAAGTGTAGTCTGATACTTGTTAAAGAATATACTATTTTATTATGCGTCTTACGGAAAAATTCATTTTTCCAAGGTGTCCAAGAAATCACGCACCACCTTGAATGATACAGGCCCCTAGAAATCACAGAAAAATTCTACCTTTATTATTGAAAAATATATAAGTGTGTAAACATAAACTAAATAACTAAAAATAATAGCTTGACTTTGATTATATTGTTTCAAGTCCTATAGATTGGGTCTAATGTACGGAATGTTTAAACAATGGTTTTAGTGCAAATTAATGTTTTCAACCTATGAAAAAATGCAATATGTATAGAATTTTTTCTTTAACAAGGTGTGCAACAATTAATTATCTCTTATCTCTTATTTATTAGTATTACGGCTATAATAATTTATTAATAATTGTCAAATTCGGAGAAAAACTTCTTTATTTTACAAAGAAAAAAACCATATATATATATATATATGTGTATATATATATATACATGCATCTTGTATGAAGTGGCACCCACTTAATCAACGTAAATGTGACCCCCTCGTATAAAAAACCAATTTTAAAACTTGACATTGTGGCACCACCAAAAATCATGATCAAGTAGCACCCTTCACGTATAAACTGGTTATAATTATATTCAAACAGGCACCCTCCACTGTTGCCATACTTACGGGTGCCATATTGAAGATATACAATTTAATATAATTTTATTTAGTAATATTCATATCTGAAAAATGTTGATTACCTAAAACAAATATGGTGAAATACTCTATTTTATATTATTCTGCATCCTAATTCGAAAATTATAATAATATTAGCTTTATTGAGATAAAATGGAGTGCGTTAAATAAGTTTTATAATGCAACTCCATTGAAAATTCGATTTTAGGCGCGCAAATGGAAGAAATTAAGGTTAGAATTTTTTTTAAAGATGTCAGGAATAATTACCATTAATATTTTTGTATTTGTCTTTTAAAATCTCTCACTACAACGCGGTACTGCGGGAGCGGCGGTACGAACAAATTTTTTGTTTATTAATTATAAATTCACATTAATGTGAGAGCGAAAAATTTTACTTTTTTTATTTAATAAGTACCTACCAAAATATGTTTACCAAAGGTAGTAAAATTTAGATTCATGCACCACAGTGCCTGTCATTTATAAGTGCTTGAGAATTTTTATTACTTTTTTTCGTGTAAGTACATGTAAAAAAAATTAAATCAAAAATATACTTACATTCATTATTTTAATTTTTTATTAAATTAATTTCAAGAATATTTTTTAATTATTTTTTGTACATGTACTTATAGTTTTTTAATGTTCCAAAATAAATCCTTGTAAGCAGCAAGTTATGTTGTACAATATTTCCTTTTTTGTACCAATGATCATAGAAAAATTAATATTTTAATTATTTTATTTGGGGCCCAACAAAATTATCTCATGATTATTATTAAAATAAAGATAAAAATAACTACTCAAAAGAAGTTGGGTAAGTTGGGTAAAGGTACAACATTCAAAAAGTGTCTGCATGTTCTAGCAATAAGTTTGTCATATTGTCCATAAAGAATAAACCAGTTCATCGAAACTTTATTTGAATAGTGATTTTTCTTCATTTTAACTATTTTATTAACAATTTTTATTAAATTAATGAATTTCTAACTATATTAGTAAATAATAATATACCTTTTAATAAAGGTACCGGACGTTCAATTAAACCGTTTATACACAAAAAATATATTAATTTATTATTTTCTTGTCATATGGAAACATACAGTTATTAAAACTTATTCGTAGATTTCACTTGTATTGTTTAATAATTTAAAATTAATATTTAAAAATTTGAAATAATAAATAATAGGAATTGTAAAATATCTTTGTTATTATTAACTTTAGGGAATGGTTATATCAATGAAAAGGTATTATAATTTCATATTTAATTATGTAAAAATATACAGGGCGTTCCGTTAAAAATTAAAAACTTATTGCTGTTTTAAGTTATCTACATTCACATTGCTTTTTATCAAGTATCTTTTAAGAAATATTACAATAAATACAACCGAATATCATCAAACCTAATATTAAAAAAAATATAAGATTTTTTTGTTGAGGGTGAAACTGACCGAATTTTACGAAAAAAATTAATAACTCAATAACTATTAAGTTTTGGTATAGAACATGATATAGGTAGTCATTTTATAAGGAATAATATTAAGAAATAAAAAATGTAAAAAAATTGTGATGATTCATTTAAAATAACAAAGTTGATATCGCTTCCGTTAAAACCGGAAGTGGAATTTTGTTCCAAATAATTTAGAAAAATAGTTTTAAGGATAATATTATTATAATTGCTTTAAAAAATTTAATTTGATATCTTTTTCCGTTTTCCATAAACATGTAACTTACCATCGACCCTGATACACCCTGTATAATATTTTAATTCCCTTTCTAACTAAAAAATGAAAAAAACATCAACAGTATTTTTTTATACTAACGTCAGTAGGCCAGTTATGTTTTGCATTTAGGTAATTTAAACTGTTACGAATCATACCAAAAGTTTTGGTAATTTTGGGGCCGAGCGGTGGCCGAATGTTTGGTGCTCATAAGTTTAATTTTTAAAACAAAAAGTAACTTACTTTGATAAAGAGAAAGAACAAAATATTTTTTAATGTTTTTCAGATGCAGGTTTAAAAAATGTTTACGATTTTTCCTCATCGGAAGAATCTGATCCTTACAAAACAGATGGAAGCGAAGATGAATACATACCATCTAGCGAAAATAGTAGTGAATATGTATGTAATTTTATTTTAAATCTGCTGCCTTAATTTTATATTCCTAAACAAGTGCAGAAGGAGTTTTTTTACGAATGTGAAGACAAGCCATAGGCGAGTTTTGCAATAACATAACTAAAAAAACCCCTCTGCATAATTTAAAGAAAAATATAGACTTTTTCCATTGAGAAAATCGACGATGAAGCCATGGAGAAAATATCATAATAGGTTCAGCTATGGAAACTTGCTGAGAAATACTGTCCTAAAATAATTTTTATCATTTGTAATTTTATTATATAATGGTAATTTGTAAATTTTAACACAATGTAAAAGCCTTCTGCTAAATTTTTTAACTTCTTCACTTTATTTTAAAATATATATACAGTGTGTCCCGCTTAAGACCTTACCACCTTCGTAAAATTTGTATTTTTTAACCGATTTTTGTAAACTTTTTTTGTTGGATAGATCTCTGGAAAAGGATTTAAACGCATATGTCACTGGTTTTAAAGACTAAACTGTGATCTCTTTTTTAGTACTACCTACTAGGGATTTTTTAGAGCAAAAGTTACAACGAATTTTTATTCGGGACCACTAAAAACCGAAATTTCGACCCAAAACAGACATCACAGTTGGCGATGAGTTTTGTCGTCAAAACAAGAGGATGGTAGGTTTTAAGTGGAACACTGTGTATATATTTATAGAAATACTAATAAATGGACTTACGATAAATTTTTACGATTTAAAAATGCCTATTTTTTTGTGATATAAGAAAAAAGTTTTTCCTAAAACTATGGAAAAAATAACATCTATGTGAAAACAAAATTTCGATTGCGTTAACCGTACACCAAATTCGAATGCATACCACTTTCCTGCAAAGAATAAAACAATTTCCATTTTCCACCATCAAAGATGAAATAGATTGAAGTCCCTAGAAATACAAATAACAAAAAACGTTTAAACATCCGAAAGCAAGTGATTTTGATATAAATTTAAAACGAGAATGCAAATCAGCCTTATCAGAATCATATTCTTAATATTTCTTGTGTAAATTATTATTATATCTAACAAATTCTCCAAAAAAGTAATGATTTCTTATGTTTATTATACTTAATAAACCTAATACATCATCACTTATTTTGAAGACTATATAATTATACGATCTTAGAATAAAGAATGAACCAAAACAATATTTAAAATCAAAATTCCCGCCAGCCGCTTCTCGCTGCCCTCCGGACACGGCCGAATACTTCCGAGGTTTCCGTGATAATTGGTGTCGTCTGTTACACACGAGGTTTTAAAGTTTCTTCCACTGTTGCCAAATTTAGGGTGCCATAATGTAAAGGCATATTATGGGTGCCAAAAGTTTAACAATTATAATGAGTGTATAAAATATATACATCTGTATAAAAAAGAGCGCCATCTATAATAAACTTCGCAAACTAAACTGTATATCCGGGAGTAATCTTTGTCAAAGTGGCACCCTTCAAATTTTTTGTTATATGGTTTAGAAGGACCCTACCTTCATTGGAAAATTTTTTGAAGGCAAAACAAAGTGGCACCCGAAACCGGGTGCCACATTGTAAAATTGGGAGTCACATTGACAATGTTTATACCATATGGGTGCCTAAATGACACTGTCTATCTATATATATATATATATATATATATATATATATATATATATATATATATATATATATATATATGTATATATATATATATAAACATCTACTAGTTTAAGCATAGTTATGACTTAAATAATATTGATGCATATATTAATTAATTGTGGTTAAAATTTTGTATTTTTTATTTTAATAGCATCGCTGTACCAATCTAAGTATTCTGTCCAAATTTCATAAAAATCGCACGTTTAGTTAAGGAGTTATCGCGAGTTTAATTTAAAGAATTTTGTTGAAATTGAACGGTCTCCATGCAGTAGCCTACTGGCCCCGCGCTGCGTCGGTTGTGCATTCCGGCAATTCAATTGTGGTTTTCAATTTTTGTAAGTGTTTTTAAGTTATAAGTAGAGATGGGATTTTAGGTTGCCAAATTTATAAAAATAAGAGTACCTAAATTGGTACACCTAAATAGGTAAAGTTTTTTCTTGTTTTAGGTGAGAAAATTCTTAAATTAGGTACGTACTTTACGAAAAAAAGTACTTGAAAGCATCTTTTAGGTGGTTAATAAAATTTCAGAATTTAACAGAAGTTATTTTGTGTTTGATATGATAGCCCACCTTTTATTAATATTAAAAAATGGTTTCCAGTCTCCTGGGGCGCCAGACAGGCTATTAACTCCAAGGTCCACCCCCTAATCTGGGTCCTCTCCAGAAGCCCAGAATTGTATTTAAGGTGCAGCCCTTTAGGGTCTCCAGGTCCATAGTCTCTGCTCACCAGCAGCTCCATCGAATTCTTGTCTGTGCCTGCATTTGGTCTGCACTTAGTATCCACGATGTGTTCCATCCATAATAAATTAAAAATATTGTTTTTTTTTAATTAATCAAAGTTAAATAAACTTTTTAGCATACCACCGACATTTTTTAACTTTTATTGAATTCTATTTTTGGTCTCATTTTTATGGTAATTTTTTGGGGGATGATGGTTTTATAAAAAAATATAGTGTCCCGAAAATATGCCTTTTCGAAAGGCCCTTTCGACACTATTTTTAGTATATTTCTAATGAAGAAAAAGTTTCTTGCGGACTAATATTAAAGAGCCAATTCCCCGATACATGCTTGTCCAACTGTATTTTTAAAAGTTCTTCGCGTAGTATTGACCGTTTCCTAAAAAATCATAGGATGCTATGACAAAAACAGAACTGTCAAAATCTCAAAATGCTTGAGCAAATTAAAAAAAAGAAGTAGGTATAAGTTAACTTAATAATAATAATTATGCTGCCTTTACTTAAATTCGTTTGTGCAATATTAAATAATTAATTACACTGTAGGTTAATTTACAACTAATATCACAGCTAATCGCTCGGACACGTAAACATAATTTTTAGTCGTAGATTCCAAATCCGTGCTCGGTTTAGCTGTATCAGGTCTAAAAAAGTTTTTCCTATCGGAAGTCCGATCCAGGAACACACTGTATACTGGTATATTATAATTTGTAGAATAATATATTTCACCTCTTGCGCCAAAATTCCTATGCTTTTTATTTCAATAAACATAATATCCTCAGTTATACTCAATAAAAAAAAATTAGCAAAAAAACATTTTGAATTTTCTTAATTATCTATAAAAAACTCTCAGGAACCCGTGTTCCTTTTGATTGAACTTCAAATTTTGCAATAATTTGTTTTTTTTTTAATTTGGAACTGATGTGTGAATCCAGCCAAATTAATTTTTTTAAAATTTCATACAGGGTGTTTTCAATATATTTGAATTTTGACCTGATACAGCTAAACCAAGCACGAATTTGTAATCTACGACCAAAAATTAACTTTACGTGGCCGAGCGTTAAGCTGTGATATTTTCACCTCCCTACAGTGTTATTAATTATTGAGTTGGGTATTAGTAAATCACATTTGCAACACATTTACAAGGCAAATAAGGTAAAAACCTTATAAAGTTAATTTTTTTCACGTGTTAAATGACCCTGATGGATCCCGAAGATTGCATTTCTGTCTTACCTTAGCTGAAAAAAAATGTTAGAAAACCCAAATTTACATAAAAATATATTTTTTAAGGTATCCACATTTACTACAAATTGCGTACCTTCTTCACAAAATTGTCATTCTGGTTTGAAACTAATCCCAAATTTGTAATGCTGGAGGCAATATTTATAAAAAGTTAATAAGTGGTGTGCAATTTCTTAAGATTTTTGGCGTAGTTGAACCATATTTTATTGAAGGAAAATTTAACAAGCATTCTTACCTAAACATACTAAATCAATTTCTGGATTAATTTGCTCTATGGATTAAGAATATCACATTTTAAACACGATGGTTGTCCTGCCCACTCAACTATTCAAATATGTGAAAGGTTAATCAGCATTTTTAAGAAAAATTAATAGTGCTGGTCCCATTTTGTGGCCAGCACGGTACCCTGATTTAAAGAATATTTTACAAAATTTTGAAAAAGGTGCATATAAAGGAGGCGAACATTTTAAATAAATTAATGTTTAGAACCTTTATTGAGAAAATACGTACATTTTTACCAAACCGATCTGTTAATATACACTGTCGATTTTGTTATATTCATAGCCTACTACGATTTTATTAAAATTTGTGTTTTTTTATGCAACAAAATGAAACATTTATATATATTATTTATCATAAAAACCGTTTTATATTTTTTTTAAATAGGAGGTAAAAAAAACTTTGAAAGTATTTGAAAATTTGCATGCTTATGTAGCTTGTCATTCGTAACAATTTTTCTACTAATGTCAAAAATCAGTTTTTTGTATGTTTCTAGGCCTAGGGCATACTTGATATTTAAAAATAAAAATTTGTCACAAATTAGTCTACTCAAGATGAAATTTCAATTCAATTTTGTTTTGACTTTTACACCTTTACAAGCGTTCATCCTTGGTCACACTGTATAGGCTATATTATAAAATAATTTAAGCTATATTATAAAATTATTTATTTTGATTACAGACTTGGAACAAAAATATATCGGGTTAAAAAACAAATTCAAAAAACAAATTAAACTTCACAAAAGCGTGACAGACGAATATGAGAAAGTAAGTAGAGATTCTTTTATATAAAATTGTCTATTCAAGTATTTATATTTTGTGTAGGCAAAATCTAGTATTAAAAGTTTGGAATCGGAAAACTTTCAACTTCAAAAACAATTGCAAAATAAAGTCCAGGAAGGAAGTGAATCAGATATTTCAGAAACCGTACGTGAGCAACACAAGGAGCTTATTGAAGTTGTGCAAAATAAGAACAAACAAATTTCCGATTTACTACAAGATATTGAAGTATGTAAACATTTTCGGGCAATATTTTACTAAAATGAGTATACATTTTTTTGTTTAAGGAAGTTGAAAAAGAGAATTTAATTTTGAGGGACAAGCTCTCTAAAATAAGGGATGACTTAGCAACGGCCACTGATGAAATAAATTTAATGACAGAGAGATTAAATGGCAGTAACGTTAAATTAGCGGAAAGTTTGGAACAATATCAAAATTTAGTAGCTGAAAATGAAGTTCTTAAAGAACAAATACAAACTCTTAATGAAGAAAAAGAAGTTGTGGAACTAAAAATTGAGGAATTTACCACAGAAATCAACAACAGAGTAATTGAATGGAAAAAAATAATACATCAAAAAGACTTGGAAATAAAGGAATTACGAGGCAAACATACAGATTCCAGCATACATTCCTCAATATCGAGTCTGCCAAATGACGAAAACGAGAAAATGCAGGTGGCTACTCTTAACAAAATCCTAATACAACGTGAACAACAAATTTTAGACTTGCAATCGCAATTGAAAGAAGCAACTTTAGAAATGCAAGAAATTACCAATTTAATACAAACATTAAGTACCGAAAAACTAACCAACTCGATAAAAATTGAAGAGATATTGTCGGTGAATAAGGAAATAAAAAAACAGTTAAAATCCGCGCATGAGAGATCGCAAAATTTACAAGAGGATGTTGAATATGCTGAAGCAATTGTAAATAGTAAAGATGCAGATGTGAGTAAAGTAATTTTAGAATATATTTTTAGTTATACCCACTATGATTTTTAGTTCAAGGAATTATTAACTGAGTTAAATAATAAAGGACATGTTGATTTGTCAGAAAAAATGGAACAAATTTATAGGTTGAAGTCAGAAAAGAAAAATAAGGACAAAGAAATCTCTAGATTAGTAAAAACATGTAACAAATTGCAAGAAAACAGTGATATTTTAAATAAAGAAAATTTAGAATTAAGGTAAGTAAAATCTTAAATCACACGTTAAAACACTATAATCATTGTTTTATACAGAAATAAACTTGGTATGTCTGAAGATGAAGAGATTTCTTTAACTGGAACAGTTAAAATAAAAAATAAAAATTCAAAAGTCAATCAAGATTTAAAGAAACAATTAACCAAATTGGATGAAGAAAATTTAAATTTAAAATCCAGAATACAAAAACTTACCAAAACTGTGTCTTCCCTTCAAAATCAAATTTTCGATTTAGGTTGCAAACCTGACAATAATTTAATTGAAAATTTTTCAAAGCCAAATGCAACTGAAAGTATTTTATTGGATAAGGATGAATTAAAAGGTATTATCGAAGAAAACGAAGCGTTAAGAAAAGGAATGCACGAAATACTAAACAGCATAAACACTAAAAAAGGTATAATTGTAAAAAGTATATCCCTTTGTTTATTTTGTGTCGTATTTTAGAATCAACAACCAAAGAAATTAAGTCTGAAACTTTAGAACAACTTTTACGAGCTTTAGATGTAAAGCACATTTCGGGTTGGTATCATCCTGCAATGCGCTTGCAGGCTGAATTACATAATTTGGAAGGAATAAATACTGAGTTAAGAGAACAGTTAAGAAAAACAAAGTCAGTTACATACATTTTACATGCTTATATTTACTTTTATAAATATTTTTTAGATTGGAAAATAGCAGTATCCAAGAAAAAAGTGCATTGGAAGCAGATATTTCAGAAGGGGAGGTGGTAAATAAAACACCCAGGAATATTCCGGAAATTCAGGAGGAAGTTTGCGAAACTCTGGATCAATTTGAAGATATAACCAATGATGAACATAATAATTTTAACACAATTTTAGAAAAAATAATTCAAATATTACAGTCGCTATCTGCTAAAAATCTACAAAGTGTCAAAAATATACTTTTAGCTTTAATTGAACCCCTAAATGGGAAATATTTAAATTTAATTAAAGAATATGAAAACAACGTGTTATTGGAAAAACAAGAAACAAAAAAAGCAAACGATAATTTATTAATTTTAGAAACTCAACTTAAAGTTTTAACTGAAAATAAATCGGAAGATTCAATGATTAAACAATTGGAAAAATTTACCAAAAATGATATTCTTAAGAATCGCAAAGTAGTTTTTCTTGAAGACGAAATTAATAAACTTAATAAAAATAAAGACGAAATGGAAGAAAAACTGGAAAAAGAGAAGCAAAATTTAATAAATGATAATAAAATACTTAAAAATAAAAATGACTCTTATACAAATAAGTTAATAATTTTAGAAAATAATCTTAAGATATCGGTCAACTCCGATGTTTTTAACGAAACAAAAAATAATTTATTAAATTTAACAGTGAAACACCGAAAGTTATTGGTCGACTTGGAAAAAACGTGCGAAGAAAAAACAATTCAACTGAATGTATTGAATGAAACCAACAAGAGTCTGGAAGGTAATAAAGTGGAGTTACAAAAAAAATTGACTGAAATTTTATCGAAATATCACAGTATTGAAAATTCCAATCAAAATATTGACGAAAATGTGAAAAAATTGTCGAAAAAAATATCAGAAAGCGAAGTAAAAGAAATTTCCGAGAGGCAGAGAGCAGATCACACAAACAATCTATACGAATTGGTTAAAGAACAACTTTATAAGTCTGAAGAAAGACTGAAAGAATTTTCAAAATACAACGAAACAATTTTGCAAAAAAATCTGTTTTTACAAGAACAACTTAAAGATGCTGAATTCAAATTATCAGAGTACGTTGACAATAAGTTATATAGTAAATTGCAAGTGGATTATAATAAATTACTAGAGAAAATTAACACAATAAATAAAAAAGAAACCGTTTTAAACAAAGATGAAGAGAAAAAAGGGGGGGTTGAGTCTAAATGGACGAACAAAAAGGAAAAAGAACTACTTGGCTTAAAACACCAAATTGTTGATCTAATTGCGGTTTCTGATGAAAAAATGCTTATCGGGCAACTACACTCAGATATTAAATACCATAGAATGTTGGACCTTGATTATGTAAATAAAATTAAAATCCTAAATGATGAACTAACGAATTATATAAATCTGTATAAAAATATTGAAACCAAATATGAAGAAGATAAAGTTGCATTTTCTGAAAAAGAGACACAGTGCATGAAAAAATTAAAGTAATTATTTAGATCCACTAAATTATATTGTATTAATAATTTTAGTTTTAGTTTATTGAAAAATATATTACGGTTGCAAAAAACACAATATTATGGTTGCATACCTCTAATATCTGAAGAAAAAATAATCCAAAAGATTCGCAATCTTTCAAAGGATAAACACGAAGCATTTTTAAATTTAATAAACGCTCAAAAACTTAATAACGAAGCAGACATTCTCAGAGAACAATGCGGTTATGAGTTACAAAATTTAAATGAGCAGCAGGCAATTTTAAAAGGAAATAAAGAGGAGAGTAATAAAATGTTACAGTGGTTACAGGAAAAGAAAACTTTTCAGTTAAATGTAAGTTAAAATATTTCCTATCATTATTTTATACGTTTGTCTTATTTTATTAATTTATTGTTTCGACCTTTACTTTATCAAACTTAATTTCACTAATATATTAGTATAATAAAAACTACAATGTTTTTAAAGTTTCACGATTTTATTTTAACTTAACAATTGTTTTGCTATCACAGTAGCTTCTTCAGAAAACAATTAAACTAGATTACTGGATATTAGGGTGGAGTGAATTTTTTTTAAATTTATTAATTGATTTTTCCTATATTATTAATTGTTGACTAAAGGCGTAAAATGAATAAATATCGAAAAAATATTCCAATTTTTTAATATCTTGAGGTGGCGCATCAGTCTCGAAGTTTTGAAAATTCTAAAAAAATATTACTTCAAAGTAATAAAAATAGCATTATTTATAAATAAAAAGTTTATTTTAGTAAAATTAACGTGAAACGTAAACATATTTAATAGTAAATCATAAGCTTTAAGTAACTTCAGGAGTGTTTATTGGTAGAAATGAGATCTTCTTTTTCGCGAAAATACTGACATTTGGTATCAAAATTTGGTAATTATTTTCTGACTTTAATTATTGTTCTGATGAAACCATCTCTTGCTTTCGATCCACAAACCGAGACTGAAGATTCAGTATACTGGTTATAACCAGTTTTACACAGCGTTCCACTGCTTGGATGTGACACGAAAATTTAGGAAAGTATAGGAAATGGTCACCCGAAGAAATCATATCGGTAATTTCTATTATCGTATTTCATAGTCATAGGTGGTTCAGTCACCTTTTCTGTCGCCCAGTGAATTAACTCGTACAAATGTAATGCTTCAGTATTTAGTTGTGGAAGCTTTAATTCCCGTAATATCGAACATTTTGATTCTTTTCTCGCCTTTAATATTTTAGGCAATGCTAGTTCTCTGATCGATAGATATATTGTAGGTAACATAGCAAGTAATAGGTTTTCGGGATAAATATTAGCTATAGCTAACAAAGATCCAGGAAAGATAGCTGAATATTCTTTATAACTATAGTTATAAGGCCTTCAAGTTTTTCTGGAGGTGCAATGCTCTTTTAGTCATATTAAATATGTGAATAGGACCATGTTTGCACGTAGGCTTGGTGTTGATGTAAAACCACGTTGGGGCATACACTTTCATGATAAAAGTAGCCAATTCTTTTAGGTTTTCCGATGGATTTGCTGTCCCCACATATAAACGAATAATCCTATTAGCACACGCCAGCCATAGGGAATGTGCTATCTTTCCTGGATCTTTGTTAGCTATAGCTAATATTTATCCCGAAAACCTATTACTTGCTATGTTACCTACAATATATCTATCGATCAGAGAACTAGCATTGCCTAAAATATTAAAGGCGAGAAAAGAATCAAAATGTTCGATATTACGGGAATTAAATCTTCCCCAACTAAATACTGAAGCATTACATTTGTACGAGTTAATTCACTGGGCGACAGAAAAGGTGACTGAACCACCTATGACTATGAAATACGATGACAGAAATTACCGATATGATTTCTTCGGGTGACCATTTCCTATACTTCCAAAAATTTTCGTGTCACACCCAAGCAGTGGAACGCTGTGTAAAACTGGTTATAACCAGTATACTGAATCTTCAGTCTCGGTTTGTGGATCGAAAGCAAAAGATGGTTTCATCAGAACAATAATTAAAGTCAGAAAATAATTACCAAATTTTGATACCAAATGTCAGTATTTTCGCGAAAAAGAAGATCTCATTTCTACCAATAAACACTCCTGAAGTTACTTAAAGCTTATGATTTACTATTAAATATGTTTACGTTTCACGTTAATTTTACTAAAATAAACTTTTTATTTATAAATAATGCTATTTTTATTACTTTGATTGAAGTAATATTTTTTTAGAATTTTCAAAACTTCGAGACTGATGCGCCACCTCAAGATATTAAAAAATTGGAATATTTTTTCGATATTTATTCATTTTACGCCTTTAGTCAACAATTAATAATATAGGAAAAATCAATTAATAAATTTAAAAAAATTCACTCCACCCTACTGGATATATAGAAACATTATTAGATAATTTACCTGTATACATTTATTTAAATTAAATAATTGTAAATAATAACGGAAAAAAAGTTATACAATATTAAGATATATTTAACAATGGAGAATTATTAGTTTCTATTTGGTCATTGAGTAAAATATCAGGTTTTTCTTTAATTTATTAATTTCCAGAGATTCGAGTGGATTCAACTTAGTAGGTAAATTTTATAATTATAATTAAATGTATGGCGTAGGCTGAATCTGGTTTATAATTAATAAATGATTTCCTGTGTTCATTAATTCGGGTTTTAAAGCGTCGACCATTTTGTCCTATATATGAGGACCCTAGAAGCCAAGAGGTTTAAGTACATTTTGTTTAGTTTGAGATAATCATGTTTAAAATAAAAAACAGAAAACTTGGAGTCAAAATTGTTTGTTGTTTTATGACTTGGTTTTTCAACATGTCAGCTTAGAATTGAGTATATCCCTTGGATACCAAGTAAAAGGTACCATTTACTATCTTTTTCTGCATATAACTACATTTTTTTTTTAATGTCACTTGTATCCCGGGATAGGCCTTGGCTTCTAGGGTCCTCACATGTTTTAGGACACTAAGATTGTTGTTCGTTTTAAATGCAATATTACTGTTGATTTAAAAAAAATAGACACTTGTCTCATATTGGTACCCAGATATGTACAAATGTAATGGTAGTTATCGGATTCTTGGGAATAGAAAAAATTGAATTATTAACTACTTTTTGTTTTTTGTATTTCAAGATATTGTCAATTAATTGTACTTTATAGCTTTACAGCAATTTGTTTATTTGGATTTAATTTGTAGTTAAAATCAGCTTATTTTATCAGGTACTAAGATACAAGAGACAAGCTGAGTTTAAAGAAATGCAGTTGCAACATTTGCTTGAAAGGGTGAAAATACAAGATGAAGAAATAGCACACATTGAAGAAGAATTATTACATTCTCATACAAATTTATTATTTCAAATAGAAACTGAAGACTCCACTGAAAAACCTGAAACAATCGTACAAGAACGGCCTAGGGAAAATGTGGTAAAAATAATGAAAGCTATTGAAGTTCAAACACAAGTTGTTTTTTCGGGATCAAATAATAATGATGAAAATAAAATAACAAGTTTAAAATATGAGGTTTTACAATTGCAAAATACGCTTAGAGAAAAGGATTTGCAGATTGACGAATTAAAAAATAAAATAACTGAGCAAGAAATTTCGATAAGCTTGTTTAGAAATCAAATAGGAGACAAGCAAAGCCAAATCACGTTTTACGAACGGCACATTTTAGAACTTCAAAGCAAAAATCTTGAAACGAACAAAGACATGTTTGATGGAGCAGGTGGAGACAACATAAGTGTGGGGAGAGCAAGTTTTAGCAAAGAGGATGAGCTTTTGTCCTTAAAATCAATAGTAGATAAAATGCAGGAAACTCTAAGCCTAAAGGAAAAAGCAATCCAAGATTATGAATCTCTATTGAAGAACGATAGAGATAAACATAGTCTTGCAGCTGCGAGGCTTCAAGACGAAATTAAGGTGCTCCAGAAAGGTATTCTCGAGGAAAAACAAAAAAATACACAGTAAGATAACTAATAAAAATGGAGAAAAAAATATGAATAATTTATTTTAAGGTTGGATGATTGCCTACAATCGTCTAAACCGAATCGAGCAGCGATGGAGGAATATGTCAATCAAGTACATTCTTTGGAAAAGCACACAGCTGAGCTTCACACTTCTGTTTCGAGTTTAGAAGCTCAGCTTCAAACAAGCCGTGAGGAAGCTGTTCGATGGAAAACACTAGCTAGCGATAGGCTACAGGCTATGAACGACTTACACAAAGAGTTAGTAAAAAAAGTTAATTTTTTATTTGGTTTCACTTGTTTGCTGTATTTTTATAGTTTGGAAGACCAGCATAAAAATGAACTTTCTATGTACAAGGAAGATTGCGATAAGTGGAAGGAAGAAGTGAATAATCTTAAGGATATGATAGTTAAGCACAGAAGCGAAACTGGAAATATTGGAGGAGATATACAAAAAATAATGAAGGAAAAAGATAATAGAATACATGAATTATCAGTGTTATTACGCCAGGCGAAGGTAAGAATATAAACCTAAAATATTCGATATTATAATTATATAATAAACTGATGTGCAAAATTTAGGCACAACTTTTTTAAAGGTCTATAAAATTTAAATATAATTGTCTAAAAAGTTCCTCTTTTGATATTTAAAAGCCTAAAGTTTGCTTAAAAAGTTTGCCCACGGGCCTCAATGTGGGTGCAGTAGTTTAAGAAATACTTCCTTCAAACTGCCCCATGTCCAAAAAGTAAATTTGAAGACTTATAAAACAGGTTACTCTTTTGCTCCAAAAACCGTTCAAAAATTTATAAGAAACAAGGATCCTTTATAGTGTTTTACAACTACGAGTTTTTCCTTAAAATTGAGGTGGACAAGAAGGAGGTAAAATGAAAGAGGTTGGTTATGATTTAGGATGAGAAAGATAACAGGTAATGTTATTACAAATCTTTAAAAAATTGTCTCCTGAATGGTAGGGGTCACTGTGGTCGGACGCTACAGGTACTCCAGAATCATAAGTGTATAACGGGGACCTATGGGAAAACTCGTGGTTGTAAAACACTATGAAGGATCTTTGTCAACATAAAAAATATTGGCAGACCTTTCTAATAAGTTTTTGAAAGGTTAAAACCAAAAGGAGCCTAACAGTAACCTGTGTGTATAATAAAATATCTTTAAACTAATTTTTTTGATATGGGGGTAGTTTGAACGGCTTTCTGAAACTACTACTACTACTACCCTTGCTGACGCCCTTTAGCAAACTTGTTTAGTAAACTTTAGACAACAAAATATTCAAAGGAAAACTTTCTAGACCATTTTATTAAAATGTTATAGATGTTTAAAAAAGTGGTGCTTTAACTTTGCACATCAGTTTATATAAGTTTGTTTTTTAGAGTAATAAAGCAGAAAAGACACCTGAGATGGATTTAACTCCAAAACTAACAAATCTAGAATCAACCAACGAAACCTTGCAAAAAGAAAATGAACTACTAAGAAAGAAGTATGAACAATTGATGCAACGAGAAAGAAATATCCGAGAAGAAGTAAGGGAACTAAAGGGACAACTCATGAAAAAGTATCTTTTAATTTTTATAAAATATATAATTTTTTAATAAATAATGCTTTCAGACCTATAATATCAGCCAAAAGCGACAAGTCAGAAAAATCAATAAAAGATCAGTTGCAAAGAAAAATATCCACTTTAGAAAACGAGATTATCCAACTTAAAGAAAACTTATCAGCTCAAATAGCCATAAATGAAACGCACAAAGTAAAATCAGATGAAGATTTTGAAAGATGGAAAAAACTAAAATACTGGCAGCAAACCACGGAAAAGCTTAAAAGTAAGCTTAACGAAAAGGACTTGAAACTTACAAGACTGCAGCAGACTACATCCGGATACAGAATGCTTATAGAACGACTGGAACGTGAAAAGCATAATCTGGAAAATAGGATAAAGAATCTAAAGACGGATTGTAATAAATCTAATGATGAGACAATAGAAATGTTGCGAATAGAAAACATGAAGTTGTTAGCTGAGAATCAGTCGTTGATTTCCAAATTGGAAATTAGTCAGCATCATGCAGGAGGCTTGGGAGTTTCACTGTTACAGGAAAAACTGGAGGGTCAGGAAAGAAAAATCGCTGTATTGGAAGTTTCAGCAAAAGTAAGTTATTATTTAAACTTATATACGGGGCTTAAAATATGTCGATGGGCAAGATAACCACCATATACCAATTGCATGTAATGAGCACTTTCTACACGGCGGTGCACTTTTTTTGTAGCACTTATCGATTTTTTTCTTAAAAAAAATAATAAAAACATCTTTTCGGCAATGGGAAAATGGGGCCATCCATAAATCTCGTGACCCCCTCTCCACTTGTGAAAGAATGTGAAGATGTTAAGTTATTATGCATAATAACGGTTTTTAGATATTAGCGGTAAAATATTTATGCCTGACCATATTAACAGCACACTTGTTTAATTAATGGCCACTTGCACCGTTTTCTCTAACTAATCAGTTAAATAAACTGACAAGTTAAAAGGTAAAAGGAGATTAGTGTCCAAAATCTTGCACCGTGATTTTTTTACTATGGTTTAAAATTTAACTAGTGATCTAGGAAATTTGACTAAAAAATGGAAAAGATAGGTGCTAATAACTAACTTCACCCTTATTTGTGACGCAAATATATTTTGACGTTAAGAGTTCGATTCTTTATAATCTGTGGTTCAATTCTTTATTATCTGTGGTTCGATTCTATTTCATGTACGACCGATTCAGTTGATGGTAAGAGAGAATAATATGGATACAAAACCTGAAAAAAAGGGGGGGCTCCTCAATTTTTTCAGAAAATGAAAAAAATCATTTAATTAATCTTGTGGATACAAGGGTATCATTGAAAACAAAGAGACAGATAGGGCTAAAACAATTAGAGCAGGAAATTAACAATAAAAATGATGAAAAAGAAATGACTCTTTCGGATTTAAAAATTTCATGAGAAAAAGAAAAACTTAATATATGTATTATAATAATAAACAAGAAGTGACTATTTTCTTTTAACTTTAAATAAGTATAAATTAAATAAAGCATCAAAAATATTATTCACATAAATTGTATAAATTTGCAAAATAATCTTGTATTAATTAATTTTGAAACATAATGCGATCTTGTGGATGAGTAACAACAGGGTACTCCAGTTTATGGCATTAATATCATCAGGCAATGGCGGCTCTGGTTTATTCATATCTCTAGCAATATTATGTAGTACAGCTGCAGCTGAAATAATGGACAAAACTGCATCTAGTTTTAATATTAAGCCATATGCCAACACTGGAAACCTTTTTTTCCAAATTCCAAATACTCTTTCTATTATATTTCTAGTTCTCAGTAGTGACTCATTATAGAGTTTCTGACATCTATACCTATAACTATAGTTATTGGATGTCAATAAATAATATCTCTGGGAAAAAAAGATCTTGAATACCGATGACTAGTACTTTTGAGGTTATAAATCGTTAACGGTGGATTAAAGTAGTTTAGAGGTATTTAAACAAGGATTAATTTACGGTGCAAGCCAGTTATGAAAAATAAACCTGTGTTAAAAATTAAACCACTGTTAAACTTACGGTGCAAGTGGCCATAAGTCGTTTAATATCAAAACAATATAAGTAACATTTTTTTATAACAATTACAATTAAATCACAATTATTATTTTGAGGCAAAAATATTTAATTTAGCAATATGTACATTAGGATATTTAAAAAAGATATTTTTATTACAAATCATGATTGGTTTAAAAAGCACAAGTCCATTATTATTAGTTTTTATGATTTGATTGTTTTAATTAAAAAGTGAAAAAAATCATATTAAGTCACTTAGGTACCTTGTTTTAAAAATAAACGATTTAATTGGTACAGCACCAAAAATTTTAGTCCAAAATGCGTAAATTAAAAAACATTAAATTTGCATATAGTTAAAGAATCTTATGGTACATATCAGACAGTCTGTATATAATATTTTTAAATTATTATGATTATAATCAGTGCAAACCATGTTAACGCTTAAGTTTTAGTTAATAAAACTTTTAAAAAGTATTAAAGCACCATAATTTATTTATTAAAAAATTATTTTCCAGTACCTAAGTAACTTTTAAATGAATTTACAGTTGGCGCAACCCAAATGTGAACGCTGCTTGGTTGTCATGGAATTGTTAACTGAAATTTATTACAAAAGCTAGCTTTTTTTTGTGTGTAATTCGATCACAAAGTGACATTGCCGCTCAAGCTATTGATTGTGGCCAGTGGTGTAGCAAAGAGGGGAAAGAAAACAAAAACAGTTTATTTATTAAATAATTAAATTAATACCTGAGAAATAGAAAATCAAGGGATGTAGCAAAATTGATAGTAAAGTGGCTGCTGATTTAAATTATCAATAAAAGCGCATATTTCACATCAAGAAACGCAGCGCGCTGGCAAATATTTTTCTTAAGAATATTAATTGCAAGTGCCTTTTAGGTAAGGTGGGGGAAAAGTATCCAGTTGAAATAAAGACAGTACTATCCTCGAAATTTAACAGCTCACAATCATACACTTCGCGTCAAATTTAACGCACCACTAAAAATTTGCCACAATTTCAAAGTTGATTTTCTCGCGAACTGTCAAACCGAATTTGGTGATTTTTTTTTTGGGTTGTTAAGTTTGGGTTGGTTTGGTATGGCACAATGCAGTGTACCTGCATAACTTTTTACTGAAATTTGTTAAAGAAACACTTGACAGTGACAAACTACGGAACGCATTTGATAGGGAATAGGTTTGGGATATAGACGCAAGTGTGTTATTCCACCAACGATCAAAACAGACGTGATGGTCAGGGAAGTCATCGAAGCCGTACATGATCGTTTTCTTTATTTGCATGCTTTGAGAGAACGATTTGTAACAGAAATCTACAGGTACAACTTAATGCTACTCATAATTTTCAACCAAGTGTGTCCATCGTAAGAAAATGTCTTGCGGAACAGAATTTGAGCTTCAAAATTCCAACGACAGGACCGAAGTTAAATGCAAATCATCGTAGAGCAAGACTGCTATTTGCCAGACAACATGTTGGCTGGAATATTGAGGATTGGCAGCGTGTACTATTTACAGACGAGTATAGGTTTTGTTTATTCACCTCTGATCGGCGAGTAAGGGTTCTCCGACGTCCAAATGAGAGATTTTTTACATTCGTGAAACCACGCTATTTAATGGAGATTCTGTAATGGTTTGGGGAGGAATTTCCTTCACAGCTCGCACAGAACTCGTCATTGTTCGTGGAGGTACCATGAATAGTGTACGATATATCAAGGACATTTTATCTGATCATGTTGTCCCTTTCGCCCCGTACATTGGTAATAATTTTTTACTGATGCAGGATAACACAAGACCTCACACCGCCCATATAGTGCAAGAGTACTTACATGAGGTGGGTGTTGAAACTTTAGACTGGCCTGCAAATAGTCTGGATCTCAATCCCATTGAGCATTTTTGGGATATGGGTAGACGACTATCATGATTCCTTGCCTGCATCCCTTGATGAAGTCGCAAATATGCTACGAGAAATATGGAATGTCTTTGATCAAGGCGAGATTAGACATCTGGTTTCGAGTATGAGCCGTCGCGACGCGTCGATTTGAAGCCGTAATTAGAAGTAGAGGCGGAAATACGCGATATTGATATTCTTTAATGTTGGTTTTATTGATTTGTTAATTTTTTTTTATTAAACTGGATTTCTTTAATATTTAACTGTATATTTCTTTTAAAAATAAAAGATAACGCGGTGAATTAAAATACAAAATGTTAAGAGAAGATGAGGCTATAGTTTGATTATAAGCTGGTTATAGCTGGTACAACCCACAGGGCGTTTCAAATTTACTTTATTATTACTCTTGCACCCTGTATATACTCAAAACGTAAATTTGAAAAAATATTTTAATAAAAGTATCATAACCAAAAAATAAACCTACAATTTAAAACAAAAACTACCAAATTGGGTTTGACGGTTCCCGAGAAAATTAACTTTAAAATTGTGGCAAATTTTTAGTGGTGCGTTAAATTTAACCCGAAATGTACTACCAAAAGTATTATTAAAATTTTATTTCTGACCCATGGGCTGCCACAACATTTTGCAACCTTCTTGGAATGGATATAATCAAATTTCGCATCCCTGCTTAAAATACCCCATAGAGACCCTGTTCAAACCGATAGATATAATATATTATGTATCGGAATGTATGGTGTTTCTATAGGGTGTATCGGTATGTATAGGACCCATAGTTGGGATTTATGGTTGTTCTATAGGGATATCCCCCTTGATTTATTTGCTATTGGTTTCAATGGGAAAAATACACATAAATGTAGAAATTAGTTTTCCCCCATAGGACCCCATAGGTTTTAATAAAATTTTGTCAAATTTTTTATGGTTGTTCTATAGGGATATCCCTATATATCCTTCATTAAGTTATTTGCTATCGGTCTCAATAGGGAAAATGTAAAAGTTATGGTATGCATATAGGTAATTTTCTATAAATTTTCTATCGGGCCGTATCCGGAAAAAATCATGGACATATGCACATATTGAATCCGGTAGCGCCCGATAGATTATTTTATATAGGTCTCTATGGGGTATTTTAAGCAGGGATGTCGTACAAATCTACGAGCTCTTCCCAAACATTTTTCCGCGATTGGAACGTCTTTTTATAGAAAAATATAACGTTGTTTCAAAATTCATCCTAGTAAATTAAACATTCATTTGCATACTTAACTACGCTTATTTTAGTCAGTTTAAAAAACGTGGGATTTAAGGTCTTTTGTTCTCGATCCTAGGAATAATTTTGACGCATATATGACTTCCTACTCGCTTTGTATGAAAGGTCTTTGTTTTTTGCAACTCTTACTTAAAGACCAATTTTCTTCCAATTTTGATACAGCCCTCGAGTTTTAAGCCTCAGTTAAGTGCTGCGGCATTTTTAAAAATGTATAAATATTTGACTGCGACAGATGACTATGGCGCAAAGTATAAATTATACTATTATATTTTGACGTTTAGATTTGGCTTGCGTGAACTGTATTTATAAGAAATTGATTGAATCAGCCAATTTAATACATTATTGTTTTATGTGGTTAAAATTAAACCACAAGCCTCCAATAGGCGACAAGATAATCCCTTTTGTTTCCATTTGCAAAGGCAATATAGTTTTCTTGCTTAACGTTATATTAAATTCCTTTAAAGTTAATATTAACGCTATTTTTATTTGAATCATTGAAAATCTCATTCCTAAAAACAAGAAAATTAAAACAATTTAAAAAAAAAATTTAATTCAACCTAAACAAGCTCTTGGTCCATCTCCAAAGGGTATATAACTATAATCCCAAATTTTTGTTTTGTTCTCCTCATTGAAGCGGTCAGGATCAAACTTATCTGGCTCTGGGAAATACTCCGGGTCTCTGTGAAGTCCGTAGGCCGGTATTAAGACCGAAAGATCTTTTTCTATCCAAACATCAGAGTCTGGCACTCTGTAAGTTTTTGTGCATTTCCTTAAAAAGACCGGTGCGGGCGGATACTTTCTTAAAGTTTCTAAAAAACGTTGTCTATATCACATTATATTTTATTGGAGAAGGGCTGTCTGCAGAATAAGATAGTTTTAAGGCTGCAAAAAGGCTTATACCAGGATTGGGTGTCGCCCAGCAAACTTGCTTTATTAATATTGTCCGAAATTTTAAATTAAATAAAACCAATGGTAAAGCAAATTATTTTCAGTACTTTCTCCGGGAGGTTCTACTTAATCAGTAAAATAATTGAGTCGGTGAGATTAAGAACAGTACAAGTTCAAAATTTTAATTTTGACAAATCATTTTCTTAAATCAATTTAAAAGTTAAAAATGCATTTTTGTGAGAAGATCGGGAATTTTCGTTTTTGGAAACAAATATTTATTTATTCGTCTACATTAATGTTGTCGCCTTCAAAATAGTCCCCATTGGATATTATGCACATGTGCCAGCTCTTCTTCCAATACTCGAAACACTTCTAAAACTCGATCTTTGAGATAGCCTTTAGTTCATTCAGCGATGCGCTTTTAATGTCATCTATGCTTGCAAAACGACGGCCCTTTAAGGTTCTCTTTATTTTTGGTAATAGGAAAAAGTCAAACAGAGGCACGTCTGGCGAATATGGAGGCTGGGGCATCATTACAGTATTGTTTTTGGCCAAAAATTTTGTTCAAAATTTAACAATTTTGGAACAAATTTTGCTGCCACACGTTTCATACCCAAAACATTTGAAAAAATTTCATGGGATGAGCCAACCGATATACCAACATCATCAGCGACTTCTCTGATGGTTTATAACCATTTCTTCCACTTTTTCCATGTTTTTATCGGTTGTTAATGTGCTTGTGCGTTCGGGGCGTTCGTCATCTTCAACGTCTTCACGGCCATCTTGGAAACTCTTATACCACTTATAAACTCTTGTTTTACTTATAGCAGACTCACTATAGGCCTTTGTTAACATTTCACAGAATTTATTTAATTTTTTTCAAAATTGGATACAAATTCTCTTTGATCCATTACTTTTAACGAACGAAAATCGCCGAGCTCATAAAACACGTCTAACCTTAGCGGCTGCCACAGACAAAGTAAACAATGAAAACAGCTAAAGTTTTTATCATACTTCGGGGGCATGTATACCAACATAATAAATACAATTTTATGACAACCGGACCCCCCGAAGCCGCGAAATTTAACAATTTTATTTTTTATTTTATGAACACACCTCGTTATTTTTTGAACACACCTCGCGTTATTATATTTGATGAAATATTTACAGAAAAATGCATTTTGAACTATAAAACTGATTTTATTAAATAATTTGTCAAAATATTAACTTTTCGGACTTGTTAATCTCACCGATTTAATTTATGTATGCATAATAAATACCGCAAAGACAACATATTAGTTTTATGACCATGGTGCAGTACTTTAACATGTTACTTTTGAAACATAACATTATTTACTAGGTATTACCTGATATCACAGTGTCTAAATATGGCAAATCCATTAACATATCATAAGATACATCTTCATGATACTTTTTTAATACGTTATTCATTTCTTCTCGTACTTTTTCTTGAATTTCCTGATTCGAAGCTATTTCAAACATAGCAAAACTTATTGTAGTCGAGGTAGTTTCAAATCCAGCTAAAAAGAAGATAAATGCCTGAGCTGCGGCTTCTTCAACTGTCAATGAAGTTCCATCAGAAGCCTGTTTTTTATTGATATTATCTGTGTCAATGTTTACATTGTTTTTAAGTTGAATGAGTAAATGAAGAAAATCCTAAAATATATTCTTTATTATAATGTATTTTGTTTATTTTTCTTACTAACTTTTCTGGTAATATTATTATTTTCTCTATATTCAATGGTTTCTCTAACAACCCGTTGAAAGAAATTTGTCACTGGGCTGGAGAATACACCAAAATTAAATAATTTTGCTAAACGAGGAAAGCTCCTTATAATAACCTTAAAAGTTTATTTAAAAATTTGTAAATGTATATTTGAATTGGTTTACCATTTTTAAAACATCCCCTACAGTCTGCGTAAAAGCTCTTTTTCCCATTAATCTAAACTCAGCTTCTGGATTTTTCATGCTATTACACTCGAGACCAAAGGCACAGGATCCTATTACATCAGTGGTATATCTAGCCAAAATCTCCTTAATTTCAATAGTGCTATCCTTATCCGCCATCACTTTTAGTAAATCAGTCATTTGATGGCCACAATCAAGAATCGTAGTAAACATAAACTTGAGTTTATTTGGAGAATATGCTGGAGTTAACTTGGATCTTAAGTGTTTCCACTTTGGCCCTGCAATAGAGAATAAATGCGCACTTAAGGGATCGTTTTCTTCATCGTAATAAATTCCTCTGTCGTAAAAATGATGAAAATCCTTCGAAAGGATATGTTTTATTAGTACAGGATCTAAAGGTAAAAATGCCTTGCGACTAAAAAAATATAAACCAACATATTTTTCGCCCTTCATCCTATCGTAGATTTCTTTTATTTTGTCCCCCATATTTTTTTTTCTAAAAATCACATCTGCCATGTCTCCGAAAGGAAACGTTGGGTTTAACTGAGATACACCCATATTTTTCCAGTAATTGAACGAATGCCTAAAATAGGCGTACAAAATAGCGATTATGCTCCCAATGCATATCAAACATTGAATGCTAGTCTCGTTCATTTTATCTAAAAACAACAAATGAAAGTAAGTTTACACATTTAAAATATATTTTGTTGTTTTAAATTAAACGCAAGTGACCTCATTTTAGTGCATATAGCAATTTAAATATTTCATATGAGGAATCAATCAAATTTCAAATAACTTCTGAAAATAGCCATAATAACGTCAAAAATATCCATTAATTATTATAATCATAGGTTGTCAAAAAATTTACCGTGGTAAAACATCTTAAAACATTAAAAAAATATATACATTGTGCTTTAACAATGTTTTTTCTATTTTTTTTCTCGAAAATTAAGAAGGTAAAAGAGTAAAATTTGGTATAAATACCCTACATTTTATACCAAACAGGGTGGGACCCAATTTGCAATTTTGAACCCACATTATTAAATAATAAGCTTTTTATGTCTTAATCCGTTTGGACGTATATCCATTAGGGTGGTTCTTATTTGACCGTTATCGAAATTTTAATCATGCCGCCCCCTCATTTGTTTTTAAAAAATATTAAAAAAATGTATGCCAAATTTGAATGTCCTAACTTATTTTCTTCTATTGCCTGTAACAACGAGAAGTTTTCCAGATAGAGGATTTTTGCCTTTAATGTATTAATTTTTTAAAATTACCATTAATCTATGAAAAAGTAAAATTTTTTGAGAAAATTGTTCAAAAACAATCTAAAAATTAATTTCATTATTTACATAATTGTAATTTTGTACTTTTCTAATGTTGGTGCTCCCTAAATATCTTTTAGGTAATCTTAAATTATTTGTTTCATAAAACAAATAATTTAAGATTTTATAAAACAAATAATTTAAGATTGCCTAAAAGATATTTAGGTAGCACCAACATTAGAAAAGTACAAAATTACACTTCAAAGCACACCAATTATGCAATAAATACAAATTATCACTTATATTTTGTATTGTTATGCCATTTTCAACAAAATAAAAATAATAGTAATAATTAAACGAAGTAAAAAAGACCTTACGATGGACATGAATTCATTTCCTCAAAAAATTAGAACTGTTCATTAATTATTAATGATTTTATAAAATTATTGCGTTTTAAAGCAAAAATCCCCTATATGAAAAACTGTAAGTAATAATCGACCGAAGTAAAAAAGACCTTAGGATGAAAATACATTTATTTATGTCCTCTACATTTTCTAAAAAAGTTATACTTTTTCATTGATTAATAGTAATTTTAAAAAATTAATACATTAAAGGCAAAAATCCTCCATCTGGAAAACTTCTCGTTGTTACAGGCAATAGAAGGAAATAAGTTAGTACATTTAAATTTGGCATACATTTTTTTTTATATTTTTTAAAAACAAATGAGGAGGGCGGCAAGATTAAAATTTCGACATCGGTCAAATAAGAACCACCCCAATATCCATATTCCCCATAAATTGCAATAATTTCCATGTATTCGGCGGCTGTCCCATAATAGGTTGGAAGGTCTGTCCGAAAAAGTAACTGACCAAAGGTCATAATAATAATGGTTTTTGAAAAAAACCTGTCAGTCAAAATGTTAAGGCTCGTTCACATCATTTTGGTATAATTTTAAGCAGCTTAGGCTGCAGTTTTGGCATCTCTATTACTGTTAGCCCTTTCCCGGTGGTGCGCTAGTTCAGGACCACCCTATTTTTTAAAAATTATTTTAAGAAGTTTAACAACGTAGACAAGTAGGTAATTTTAAAATATTTATTAGGTTTCTTGTTTTAAACACAAAACCCTAATGTGACAACAATTGTTTAAAACAAGATTCTGGACATGGCATTTAAATTAATATTATCATACTCATTACTCACTACTATTTTTACCAGAAGAGTAGAATCTGTAAAAATATAATATTTACATAATCATTTAATACATTAAATTTGTTTTACGAAAATTTTTTAACTTTAGTAATAACTATTATTACTAATAACATAATTTCAAAAAAGGTTTCTAATTTATACGCCATCGTGTACAACCAGATAAGCCAGTAGGCATTATAATGTTTACCATCTTAAATTAATTAGACAGGGGGGTTTACAGTTATAATGTTCCATTTATGTTTTTTTAGAGTATATTAAAAAGGTATATTAAATAATGTGCTAAAGAGCTGTCTAAATATCTCCACTTTAATGTGTTTTATATATGTAATTATCTACTTACTTGTTGATAAAAGGCAAATAAAAAGAATATTGTTTTATTCACATAATTTGCACTGGCACGTTTGCTTAACTTTTTCTTATAAATAAAAGACAATTTACTAACACTGATACTTAAGAAAGTCACCCAACCGTGTCTTGTATCGCATACCGTGTGTTATACCGAATTAACGAGAAGCGTTTTCTCTCATAAATAACGCAATAACGTTCCATGTTCAAACATTGTTATTTTTATAGTATGGAGTAATAGAGTATTGTTTGTTGCGAATTACAAAACAAAATTAATAAATAAATTTCCTGCTTTTTGTCATTAAAATTATTATCAAACTGAATTAAACTTAATCAAATAAAATTGGGATCAGTTCTTTAGACTGTCCGTATACGGACCGGTCTCACTGACTTTCTTTTCGTTGTTTTAAAGATGTTTACTTTCACTTTGTCCTCATTATATAATTTGCAGTAAACATTTTAAAACAACGTAAATTAATAAAATTATTTGCTATCAATAAATATTAACTATTACACACAGGGTAGCGTAGAAGTTCGAGGTGAAATGGAAAGAATGCAATCCAAAATTTCTTCAATTCAAAAACGCAATTTGTGTTTAGAGGCTGAAAATTTAGAATGTAAAATGGATTTGGAAAAGTCTAGAAAGGAAATGCCCTATTTGCAAGAACAAATACAACATTTAGAAAAGTATATTATCTTAACCAGTACACAACACATATTTTATTTGTTCATTTTAGTTACATTGAAGTGCTAAAAGATGAGAATACTAAAAACTTAAGTGGTCGGGGAGCTGAAAAATCTTCGGAACAAAACTGCGAATCCAAAAAACTCCCAGAGTTAGAACGAACCGTTTTTATATTAAAACGAGTAATAGAAAAACTTCAAGTGGAAAATAAACGTTTAATAAACGGCAAAATGCCAAATTCAGAACGAACGGTAACTTACTTAGTTCACTTATTTAACAAAACCATAATTTTATTTTATATTAGTCTTCAGCTGACAAATTCAGACGGGACAATCTAAGATTAAGACAACAGTATGGAGAAGCTATTGAAAAAGTTACTCTTTTGGAGAAGGAATTAGCGGATTGCAACGATAAAATAAAAAGTTTTTCAAAAAAACCGGTTTCCGATATTGTTAAGGCTTTATCAGAAGAACTTTCAAATGTTCGAAAGGAATTAAAAGAAAAAAGTTTACTGTTAGAAAGAGTCAAGATTCTCCTACAAAGGGCTGCTGCCAAAGAGAAAAGTTTACTCCAAGAGGTAAGTGGAAATTAGTTTAAAAAACTTATTAATATAAAACGTCTTTTTTTAGATTGCAAACATGAGAAAATAATAATTATTATTAAGGTCAAATATGTATATTTTAAGATATAAACAAGTATTTTATATTTGTAGCGTGTTTTTATAATAAAATAATTAAATAGGTATATTAATACATAATTTGCATTTTACTTTCACTGACAAAATATAATTGTGTATAATATGATTGTTATCAACAATTTAAAGTTTATTTAAATTTCCTGTGATAATAAATACTACAGTTCACAAGGTCATTGAATTTGTTAGTAATGTAAATGAATTTGTGTCAAACGGTTTAAGTTTAAGATACGCTGTTGAATTTACGCAAAATGGCTTTAAATAAAGTTTGCAGTTTTTGCATGAAAAAAGTGGCAAATGAAAACAGGACTTTAAGTGGGCTTTTAAGTAAAAGAACTCATTTTATTTACAGTGCAGATGAAAATACTTCCGTAAAAGGTAGGAAAATACTAAAATGTGGTTATGTATTAAGTAAATAAACAAATGCATAATAATATACTTTTATTAGTATTACACTCTTTTATTAAAACTATTATAAAATATAATTATATTGCTTTTATTTTATTTTATTTTATATTAAAAATTATATCTATACTTGCACAATAAAAAATATATTTCATAATTAGTTATGATAAATTTAAATTTGCAATTACAAACATTAAGTAACATAAAATGTTTTTAAAAACCAAAATATATTTATGGATTAAGTTATTCTGTACCGGGTCTTATGCCTTAGAAAAAGTAATTAATATTCAAGCTATTGACTAATTTGTTTCAGATTATTTATAAGGATTATCCTTAAGCGGTCTATCTATTATTCACGAGGACAAGGTTTGCGTCTCGAGTCGCCAGACGAGAGACTCAAATCATCCAAGTGAATAATGCGCATAATCTTGAGTGTAATACTACCCAGCAAACCAGGCTGTTCCATTTACATAACCATGATATAACTAACGAAGAACATTGCCATATAAAATTGTTTACATAACATTTACATATTAGTTATTTATTTTGTTACATAATTATGATAAAACATAGTAATATAACATTTATATAAATATGTTCCCCTCTTGTTATATTTACATCCCCCTTATGTATCAGCCATATAACAATGTTATATATCTACAATGGAACAATGATACATCATTGATATATGGCAATGTTTTATAGTATCCATATAACCTTATTATATGGTATTTACATAGTTTTTCTTTATTTTGTTACATAATTATAATAAAAAATTTTAATATAATAGTTATATCAAAATGATCCCTTCTTGTTATATTTACATCCCTATTATGTCATGGCTATATAACAATGTTTTATACCTACATTGTAACAATGATATATAAATGCTATATATTAATGTTTTATAGTATTTATATAGCCTTTTCATCTTACTAACGAACTCGTTTAAACGGTTGTGTCGAGTGCTCTCTATTGTGTTTTAAGTTAAGTTAAGTTTGATTCAATTTTTTTATAATAAAATGGAAGACAAAAATAGAAAAAAATATATTTCCCTATCCCGGAGGCAAAAGCGGAGGAGAATTAATGCAGATCTCAAAATAATGGGCGTGGAGGTAAGAAATTGTATAGAAAATACCCAAGACAATGAGGAATATACTGAGGCTAAAATCGAAGTATTATCTTTCCCTAACCAGCCAATAAATAAACATATAATATAATAAAAATATTTTTACAGAAAATTTGGGAAAATATTCAGGAGGTCATAGGAAAAATTCCCATACTTTTGTGGAAGATTTGCAAGATTTGTGTAATAGATACTTACCTAGTCAACTTTTTATTAATACTCTGTTAAAAGTTTTGAGAAAACATTATTGCAATAATGCAAAAAGAAGTAGAGGCTGAATTTGTAAGAATATAAAGGGCGATTTTAAACCTGTTTAATAATGTTAATTTGTTTTTAAAACAGGGTGCTAAAAAACAAGCAAAAAATTATAATTTAATGATATTTGGTAGCCAAAATAAGAGTTTAATTTCTATATTTTTTTTAACTTTATACTGTTTTTTCAACTGGTACTTAAAAAATACAATAATTTAGCTAAATAACCAAGATGGATACACTTTTTTATTATAATTGTTGTGACAATAAATTTTATGCAAATTCCATATTTTTCATTATTTTTATATCTTTTAAGGTTGCAGGGTGCATTTAACTTGAATAAATAAAATCAAACAAATTATTATTTGTACCAAATATCATTTACCTACATAACTACATAAAGAATAGTTGTTCTCTGTTTTAAAAACAAATCAATAAACAAAAATAATATTAAATTGTATTTTTTTCAGTTTCAGTATATAACAAAAATTGGAGGCGTCTCAGAGAAAGATGCCACAGTAAGAGTTTTAAAGAAAATCTTCTCAAATAATTTGGCAAAAGATTGCTCTTGGCTGTGGCTAAGAAACAACAATAAAATTCAAAATTTAAAATCTGTTGAAATATTGAAGGGTAAAAATGTAAATTTTATGGGATTTTTTATTAAATAAATTTTTTTAAGCTGCTGTGTGCACTTAGACAGACAAAAATTTTGAAGGCATAGTTTCCGAATGGTTCCGGCAGGCCAAACAAAGATTTGGTATACCCTATAGGGAAGCAAAAAACCCATGAAAAGAAGGTATATTAATATTAAACTCATGGGATTGCTTTATCTTTTTTACCATATATTTTTTAGCTTTGAAGTATTACTGTATTTGGGATTTTTTTTTGTTTGGAAAAACTTTTCGTTTGTTTTAAGAAGTTAGAAAGAAGAAATGATTTGTTTTTTTTAATTAAAATAATTTTTAATAAACATTTAAACCAATTTGTTTTTTTTTAATCTCTTTCAGAATCATTTATTTTTGTAATTTTTAGGTACTTATTATTTATGTAATATTTATTTATAATTTATTTAATATATTATCTAACTGGCATTAACAATTTCTTAGTTCTAATTTGGTATTATGGCAATTTTAAAATTTTGTTGATTTTTATTCAAAAAATTTGCCATAATACCAAGTTAGGGCTAAGTAATTTTTAATACCAGTAAGATAATATATTACATGAAATTATATTTATAAATATTTCGTAAATATTGCAAATAGAATATAATTGTTTTATCACGTTTACATAACTATGATATGGCGCTGTAACATTACAGTTACATATCTATGATAAAACACTGTTACATCACAGATACATACCCAGGAAGGGGTCTTGAGGCGGACATAGGAGCATCGCCATTACATATAGGTGACATAGCTGTTGCATAGTAAGGAACAATTTTTATGTAAATGTTATATCACTGTTACATAACTGATATGGCGCTGTAACATTACAGTTACATAACTATGATAAAACACTGTTACATCACAGTTACATACCCAGGAAGGCGTCTTGAGGCGGACATAGGAGCATTGCCATTACATATAGGTGACATAGCTGTTGCATAGTAAGGAACAATTTTTATGTAAATGTTATATCACTGTGACATGATTTGGTTTGCTGGGTATACTTTATCTACTCCAATAAGTAGATAATTAAATGATTTTAAAGATTAAATAAATAAAATCTGACATCTGCCAAATGGTTAACCTTACTTTTTACCAATTTGAAATGTTATTATGGTCACAGTTCGATTTTGTCCTCGGTGAGAAGCGTATCGCTCCTGCATTGCTCCATGAAAAAGTGTGAAAAATAGTTGACTTTGACTCAGGGAGGACAAAACCGGATTCTAGTCCTAGATAATATTCCTCGTTTTGTCCTTTTTTAAAGGAATAGAGGAATTTATATGAACATTTAAAATTTCAAGGTTACATAACCTATTTGTGTCCACGTGTTTGTTAGACAACCGTTGTCCAATGGTTTTTGGTTCTTCTGAAATCATTGGACGTTAAAACTAGTAGCTGGTTAATAAGGATTTTTGTCCACGACCATAAGGGCGGTGGTTGAGCCGTAAGTCCGCCCAACTTGAAGAAGAAGAAGAAGAAGTTATTATGGTCGCCTTCTTTTAATTTAAAACCCGACTGGTTCAAATCACAGTAAATATTGAAATAGGCCAATCACTAATGCCTAACAACGTGAATAATGAGTTTATTATTCACGTTGTTAGGCAGGGAATTTATAAAGTTTATCAATATTCATGAAAAAAACAACAAAATTATGCCATAGGAGTAGATAAAGCATTTATTTTCACCTTCTTAGTAAATGACATTTTATGGTTAATTTTATTGTTTTTGTATCCAAGTAAACGATACATTATAGGAACAGAGTCTGTTCAACAGACCTGTAATATTTTACGGGCTTGTATAAAAGACCTGTAAAGTTTTACATGCATTGTAGAAAAGCAATTTATGAAATAAATTGTCACATTTGACACCCCTGCTTAAAATACCCCATAGAGACCCTGTTCAAACCCATAGATACATTATAGGAACAGAGTCTGTTCAACAGACCTGTAATATTTTACGGGCTTGTATAAAAGACCTGTAAAGTTATGCCATAGGAGTAGATAAAGCATTTATGCCATAGGAGTAGATAAAGCATTTATGCCATAGGAGTAGATAAAGCATTTATTTTCACCTTCTTAGTAAATGACATTTTATAGGTTAATTTTATTGTTTTTGTATCCAAGTAAACGATACATTATAGGAACAGAGTCTGTTCAACAGACCTATAATATTTTACGGGCTTGTATAAAAGACCTGTAAAGTTTTACATGCATTGTAGAAAAGCAATTTATGAAATAAATTGTCACATTTGACACCCCTGCTTAAAATACCCCATAGAGACCCTGTTCAAACCCATAGATATTTGTATCGAAATGTATGGTGTTTCTATAGGGTGTATCGGTATGTATAGGACCCATAGTTGGGATTTATGGTTGTTCTATAGGGATATCCACCCTTGATTTCTTTGCTGTTGGTTTCAATGGGGAAAATACACATAAATGTAGAAATTAGTTTTTCCCCCATAGAAACCCAGGTTTTAATAAAATTTTGACAAACGTTTTATGGTTGCTCTATATGGATATCCCTATATATCCTTCATTGAGTTATTTGCTATCGGTCTCAATAGGGAAAATGTTAAAGTTATGGTCTGCCTATAGGTAATTTCCTATACATTTTCTATTGGCCGTATCCGGAAAAAAAAACCTGGACAAATGCAATCCGGTAGCGCCCGATAGAATATTTTGTATAGGTCTCTATGGGGTATTTTAAGCAGGGACATTAATTTAAATTTTAAATTTGAAAATCCTTATAAGGATATAAACTACTCACAAAAATTAAGGGAATGAAAAAAAAATGCAAATTTTTCTTAGATTTTTGACGGGCTGTATTTCAGCGGAAAATGATCGTATCGCAGAAAAAAAAATGCATTTTAAAGCTTCAAGACTCTAGTTTCCAGATCTTGAGGTCAAATTTTTTTAAGAATTACTGTTTTGACACGATCCGAAGAAATAGAGCAAAAAAATTTTTTTCCAAATTTTTGATCTTTTTTTTTCGCTCTACGGGCACGGTAAAATATTTTCAAACAAAGCGACCTTATGGAACAGATACCTTGTTTATTCAGCTTCAATTTCATTTTTTATTCAGCTTGATACGACCAATTGTCGCGGAGATATCCGAGATTAAACAAAAAAGGGCGCTTATGTCTTTAACCGTCTCTGCAACCAATAATCGTACAGCAAAAAAAAGGACAGTTTTGGAAACTGGAAGAAATTTCCAAGAAAATTTCATTAAAAAGTTCCAGAAAATTTTTTTTATCGGTGTACGATACCAGTTGGAAAAAAGTTAAAAAAAGTGACTTTTTCCCTTATTATGGTTAATCGACTGTATCTTAATAAATATCGACTGGGAAGCTAGACATTGCAGGAATTTTTACACCTCAATATACCCCTGAAAACCCTGTAAATTTTCAGATCGATCCATTGAGTAGTTTTTCTGCCCCGAGCATCCAAAATTTTGAAAAAAAAAAATTCTTTTTCGAAAAAAAATTTAAATTTTTTTTTTTATTTGGTTATTGTCACCTTTATCCCGTTGAATAAAAAATATGGGTTTTGTTTTCAAACGGTTTGTAACTTCTGTACTTTAATCATCTTTATTTTAATTTTATTAAATTATGTAATTAAAAGTCGATGTCCCTGAGATTCCGGCAATATTCGTGTAACGAATATTGAGGCACAAAACTCTTGAGTTTTATCTGCAAAGCTAATAAGTATTCCTAAAAATAGTTTTTCTTAAGACTACTCCGATTTTTTGTTAAAAAAATCCAATTAACAGTTTTTTTCAAAACTACTGTTAATTTTTGCAATTTTGGTGAAAGAAATTTACTGAAGGTATTTGAAAACTTTGTTTTTTTTTTATTTTTGATTATGCCCATGGTGAAAGAAATTTACTGAAGGTATTTGAAAACTTTGTTTTTTTTTTATTTTTGATTATGCCTGCAGGCGGCATTTATCTGCGACAGAAGTCGCTCAGTTAGTGATTCGATTCGACACACCCAGAAGTTACAAACCGTTTGAAAACAAAACCCATATTTTTTATTTAACGGGATAAAGATGACAACAACCAAATACAAAAAAAAAATTTTTTTTTTTAATTTTTTCTTTAAATTTTCGAACTTTTTTTTTAAATTTTTTTTCATTTAAATTTACTGATGAGTCGATGCAAAATTAAGAGCAAAACGAAAAAAAATTATTATGCCACGATAATGGATAAAAATCTTATTCCTTTAATTTTTTCAAAATTTTGGATGCTCGGGGCAGAAAAACTACTCAATGGATCGATCTGAAAATTTACAGGCTTTTCAGGGGTATATTGAGGTGTAAAAATTCCTGCAATGTCTAGCTTCCCAGTCGATATTTATTAAGATACAGTCGATTAACCAAAATAAGGGAAAAAGTCACTTTTTTTAACTTTTTTCCAACCGGTATCGTACACCGATAAGATTTTTTTTCTGGAACTTTTTCATGAAATTTTCTTGGAAATTTCTTCCAGTTTCCAAAACTGTCCTTTTTTTGCTGTACGATTATTGGTTGCAGAGATATTGACGGTTAAAGACATAAGCGCCCTTTTTTGTTTAATCTCGGATATCTCCGCGACAATTGGTCGTATCAAGCTGAATAAAAAATGAAATTGAACCTGAATAAACAAGCTATCTGTTCCATAAGGTCGCTTTGTTTGAAAATATTTTTCCGTGTCCGTAGAGCGAAAAAAAAAGATCAAAAATTTGGAAAAAAATTTTTTTGCTCTATTTCTTCGGATCGTGTCAAAACCGTAATTCTTAAAAAAATTTGACCTCAAGGTGTGGAAACTAGAGTCTTGGAGCTTTAAAATGCATTTTTTTTTCTGCGATACGATCATTTTCCGCTGAAATACAGCCCGTCAAAAATCTAAGAAAAATTTGCATTTTTTTTTCATTCCCTTAATTTTTGTGAGTAGTGTATCTAAAGGTAAAAATAAAAGTTTGTACGTATCACGCTTTGTAATTAATCTTTACTAGACTCACTGGCCTAACGGCCTCGGTTACAAAAATCGTCGTTCGTTATACTATATATATAATATATTCATTAAAACAACCATATTTAAAAAAGTTAATGCTTAAAAGAAAAGTAAAGTTAAGTAAAGTTAACACTTAAAAGTTAAATGTATTAAACAGATAATTTATAAGCATTATCATATTTTTTTATAAAATTTTTATTATTTTAGTTTAAATTTTTGAATATACCATATATATTTATTTTTAAAAATTTACTTTAAAATTATTTTAGGGGAAACCAAAAAAATGAATATGTTTCAAGCCATTAACAGCGCAATGGATATAGCAATGAATTCGGATAAATCAGCATTAATTTTTGGAGAAGACGTGGGTTTTGGTGGAGTTTTTAGATGTACAATGGGGTTGCGTGACAAATACGGCAAGGAGCGAGTTTTTAACACCCCTCTATGCGAACAGGGTATAGTAGGATTTGGAATTGGAGTAGCTAATATGGGAGCCACTGCAATTGCAGAGATTCAGTTTGGGGATTACATTTTTCCTGCCTTTGATCAAGTAAAAATCCTTTTAGGAATTATATATTAAATTTATTAATGGTTTAGAGTTGATTATATAGTACCACTAATGGCAGTTTTGGCGGAGGATTTTTTAAGCAAAACCTTACTTTGATCATAAATTTACTTTCCGATTTTTCAGAATATCCAACTTTTTAATAACAATAATAATTGTACACCCTGTCCAAAAAGGGTTTTGTTACTTTTTTACAATTAACCAAACTTAATTTCCTTGTATTAATATAATATAGGTATGTTATGCATCACCTTAAAGGTGTATGCTCTAAACTTTAGAGTCTAAAGACCCCTAGGAATCTTAGAAAATTATTAAAAAAATGCTGCCTTCCTTATTTAAAAAGATACAGTGGATACATATTTTCTTTAACGTTGTGTCTAGAGTCCCGACTGACGTCACACACACACACACACACACACACACACACACACACACAAATCGGTATAAAATAAAGTTTATTATAAGCTGGGTAGCTCAGTCTGAGCTGCTCAGATGGTAGGGCGCTCGATTATTGATGCATCCATAATTTTTTTATTTTATGAATTTACGTAACGAGATAATACTATGTGGCATCAAAAAGCATTAAAATTTAATTTTACATTATTATTTAAGAAAATGTACCCTTCCTCATAATCATTTTTCTACGGTAATATAATATTATATTATTAATATATGTAATTAAATGAATATTTCTTTGTTGAAAAGTGTTGGCTTGGGTTTGTTTGTTTTAGTTTTATCGTAACAATTACATAAAATCGTAAAATTATGACATCAGTCGGGATCGTCTCGTATCGGGTCTGTGGACGCAGCGTTTCTTTAAATGGTAACATGGCCTAATAATAAAATGTTAGTTTTATTCTTGATAACATCATACCAACAAACAACCCAGATAGCACAAGTACGTTCGTAGGACTTCCACCCAGGACAACCCGAACGTCCTCAGGATGTCCGGGGTCTGCATAAGTACGTTCGTAGTACGTCCACAGACTTCCGAAATAGACTGTTTCAGATGTCCTCAGAACGTCCGTATTTGACCCCAAGCTGTCCAATTCGGGACATATGAGGACCGAATTAGGACATAGTTTTATTACAATAAAAAAGTTTACAGACGTCCTGGAGAGGTATATCCTATAAGTTCAGTCCTGAAATTCTCTGAATCGCAAGATACTTTTTTAACACACTCGACTAGCTAGACATTATTCGTTACTGAGCAGATGAGGATGGAGATGGGGACTCCAAACAATTAATGTTTTTAGCTATGCCATTACGGACACACACTTCCAACTAAATATTGCAACCAATCGCTATTTATAGTTATCTCGCGTGGGTAAGCAGCCGTGAGATGTATCGATTATGCCGCGGCAGGCCGAATTCCAGCCGGCTAGGGCAAGCCGAAGGATTTTGCATCGGCATGCCGTATTCTGGCCGACTTCGGTTAGAACATGGCTAAACGGTACCGGGGTAACATAACGCGGGCCGTAATTATAATTATATAAGTAAAAAAAATGGACAACTTTTTTAAAAATCTTTTATCGTGCTTGATTAAAGAGTATTTTTAATAAAAAACAAGGTGTAATTTTTTTTCACTTAGACCCTTTATAAAGGGTGATATCAAATTGTATCTTCAACTTTCGTCGCAGGCAGAAAACCGATGGACGTACTGAGGCCTAGGCCTCAGGATGTCCATCGGCCTAGGCCTCAGTACGTCCATCGGTTTTCTGGTCGCGACCGTCTGTAAAGGATTTAAACCGGATGTCCTCAGGACATCTTGTGCTATCTGGGAACAATATTAGAAAGTGTCAAAATACAGAAACTAATAAAACCATAGTTTAAATCTTTAAAGAAAAACTTGAATTGGGTATGGACCCAAATGACCGCATGTTCACATTTTAAAAATTACAAAACTTGGAAATTATAGCATTAGCTAATCTGGTACGATATAAGTAAAAATTTATTACTAGAGAAGATTTGTTTTCTAAATTAATTAATTAATTATTTATTATTAGTTAGTAAATGAAGCTGCTAAATGCAGATACAGAAGTGGAGGCACATTTGATAGTGGCAAACTGACCGTCAGAGCCCCATGTGGAGCTGTAGGCCATGGTGGGTTGTATCATTCCCAGAGTCCTGAAGCCTATTTTGCACATACTCCAGGATTAAAAGTAAGTATTAGGTGTTTTATTTAATTTTATTAAAATAAATTTCTTTAAATAATATTTAATAATGGAACAAGCTCTTAAGCAAAAGCAGTATTTATCTATAAAAATATTCTAGGTAGTTATTCCTCGAGGACCAATTAAAGCTAAAGGACTTCTGTTAAGTTGTATCCGCGAACCAGATCCTTGTATAGTGTTTGAGCCTAAGTGTTTGTACAGAGCAGCGGTTGAAGAAGTTCCTGTTGGAGATTATCAATTGCCTTTGGGAAGAGCAGATATTTTACAGGAAGGTTGGTTTTTTAAATTTCTGGTGTATAGTTAATAATTTGGTATCATTAAAAATTATGTTTCAAAATAAATATTGTAAATATCTTACAAAAATATGTCTTGTTGCATGTTTATTTATTAGCGAGTTTTAATTAAATGAAAATGTTAAAGTGTTTAATCAAATCGTATAATTCCGGCAATGCTATTTTAGGTACTTAAATATTAAAGTTAGTTACTAACTAAGTGACTATAGATGTAAAATAAGAAACATGAATGTACCTAAAAAAACTCGTTGTCCTATATAAAAATTAACAAACACTTATTTAAACAGTTCGAATAAAACTCTACGATACAAACTAATTTTATAGATTCTTTTAACGAAACAAAATATATATATTTTTTAATTTTTGCAAAACGAAATAAAAAAAAACGAAAATAACCTAAAAACTGTTTTAAATTTGAACCCTTTTCGGTCTTCGGTCTCTAGAGTTACATTTAAAATTAATATGGGTTCGGTTACGGTTCCGGTCCACAAATAAATACCGGTTCCGACGTTCGAACAATTTACTAGAGATAAGCAATATTTCGATATCGGTGATTTAGAACCGGTGATTTAAAAGTCACCGGTAACACCGGCGACTTTAGTCGAAAAGTAACCGGTCTAAAGTCGCTGTTCTATTTGCTGAGCTTCCAACGCTTTTTATTGGAACTGCTAGTCAAAGAAAATATCGCCGTTTCGCGGTCACTGATCGAGCTTGCAGCAATGCGGCGCTGCACTGACCAACCATCGCGCTGGTTGGTCAGTGACAATGGTCACTACAAGTGACGCGATACGGCGATTTTTTCTTCGACCTGTGACTACTTATTTAATCCACACATCCTGCAATTGTGTAATCTATCTTATGGCATTGACTAAAGAATTTCTTTACTCAACGGTTATGGCATTGTTTTTAGAACCTCTAAAAACAATGATTATAGGGACATTCCACGTTACTCGGTAGTTTTTGTCCCACCCGTCACAATTAAAAATTGTGAGTAAATACCACAAGTTATTAAATTATTATTTTATAATATAATTTTTATTGTGCTTATAATATAAGCCTCTTACAAGCATAATAAACAATATTTTAAAATAAATTTAATAACGTGTAGTTTTTACTCACAATTTTTAATTGTGACGGGCGGGACAAAAATTACCGAGTAACGTGGAATGTCCCTATAGTTGCTTTCCGTATTGTATTACAAATCAGTATTTTTTGGTAACAGGTACTTCGCATAGCAGCTCTTAGTCCATTTCTGTTCCAGTATTATTGTAAACGTAAAAATTTATTTAGTAAAAGTAAAGGAAAAGCGGTTTTTCACCAATCAGACGAGTAAAGATCATGTTTTGTTCATATTTTTTTTAAATATTTTATTTTCATACCGGTGATAAGATCACCGGTAAAAATCACTAATACTTCAAAGTCGTTGGTAATAAAATCACTGTGATTGTAAAATCACCGTTAAGCCCATCTCTACAATTTACATCGATATCAAATTAAATGTAAAAGATATGATGAGATTTATCCTGTGGAAAAAAACTACACAGACAAAAATCTTTTTCAGCTGAGCCAATTTAGAAAAACAAATTCATCATGGTCGCCGCCACAGCCCGTTCGATACGATACGTATCGATACAAGTGATACGAACGGGATATCGTTAGAATCGATATAAATGTATGTATCGAATACATTGTATCGATTATTTAGCTAATTATGAAAAGTCCTTAAAATGCCATATATGAAAATTTGCAGCTGACTTTTATGTGGCTATCACAAAACTAGTTTTGACTTTGGTTTGGTACTTTTGCTCACAATCCACACAACAAATGTGTGGATTGTCCTTTTTCTACGGTTTGTTTGGTTTAAGTTATTTCAAGTTATTTAAAGTTTACATTGTAAACAATTGCGAAACAAATTGCAAATTTTCATATACCTATATTTTTTTTCGTTACCTTCCTAATAATTAAATTCATTTAATAAAAGTTTTTATTTTTTCTTCTATTTTTTTTAACCGTATCGTATCGAAATTGTATCGATAGAAGCGATATTTTGAAAATTATATCGATATCGTATCGATACGTCTTCTGTATCGAACAGCCCACCTCTACACAGAACTGTCTGAAAAATAAGTTCCTTTCTCGAGCGTAGTGTGTGGATGTAATATAGGCAAACAACTATACAATTATGTATTACTACGGTGGTATAATATCATTAACTATAAATAACTGAATAGTATTCACATAAAAGTTTATAGATCCCTTTTTATTCAATTAATGTTATATGGTTATTACTTAATTGATGAAATATTTACTAATCCTTGATTTTTGGATATTTATTTACAATGGCAACTAAAATGTCGAGGTGCAAATATCTTCTTAACCTTTTTCACTATTACCCAAGATAAAATGGCATCATAGGCAAGAGTTACCCTAATTTAGAGATCTTTATACACCAAATAACCAATAACATATAAAATAAAATATAATAAACAGAAATTTTTAAATAATAATAATAATAATAAAATACTTTATTCAACCCCAGAAACAATATGGAGCTTGTTTATATACACATTACATATTTAGTATCAAATACAAGTTTAAATACTATAACTACTAATCACCATTATCACATTTATAATTATCACATTTTAGTCACAAATCTGTAAGGATATACATAACATTATTTAAGGATTTCCCAAGCAGCATTTTTGGTTTCAAAAACCATTACCAAAGTGGTGATAACTTTAAAGTAGTTAAGTATACTAAATAGCTACTTTAATTTTTACTTTGAAGTAATTCTAACTTTTAAATAGCAATATTTTGTAACAGAAACTTCATTCTTTCCTTAAATGGTTACTATAAACTTTATATATAGTATAAAGTAATAAACATTTAAATAAAACTTGGTTGCCCCCAAGAAGACTTTGCAACTTTAAAAAAGGTGTTATAAGTAAAAGAAACTTTCAAGTAAATTTAATTTGTAGGAGTTACTTTTGGTTGCTACCTAAAGATTAGGTACATTATAATTAATTTTACTTTGTAGTCCCTTTGCAAGTTAAAAGTTATTATTTTAGTATTTGGAACGTTTATGGTACTAACCAAAACTACCGTAAAGTAAATTAAGGTGGAAAAAAACTTTAAAGTAGCGTAGTTTTCGCTTCAAAGGAAAATGCTTCTTATCGGCCATTTTTTACTGTTCAGTACCACGTGGTAATGTAATAAGGTAATAAATTATTTTAATTGTTTGTAAATGGTTGTTTACTTTTTAATAAATAGTAATTTGGTAATAGACGGTATTAATTAATTAAATAAAAAATTAATAATAAATATTAAGATTTTTTTATTTATAAACATTATTAAATAAATAATTTGTTTTTACTTAAATATTGATGAAGCGCATTTTTTTTACAAAAACAAAATTCATAAGTTTAACAGTAAAAATTAAAGGGTCTATAAATGTACCTGCCTAATTAAACATTAAATTGTTATTCTGGTAGTTATAAACTACCAGTACCTACATATTTAATAAACGACGACATTGAAAAGCCAGGTCCGTAGTGGTTCCATTTAAAAAAGTAGGGGTAGTATAATCTAATAAGTTTGACAAAGACAGTTAATATAGAAGTAAAAACAAATAAATAAAAGTAATTAGGTATAACGCTCTAGCAACCATATTGAATTCAATTTAAACGTTCTAGTAACGAAGCAGCTACGTTCCAAATAGTAGCAGGGTTTATAGCTATAGTGACATATTTGCTACCTTTTTGGAACTCAATAATTGTTCCCCACTTTAGTCGTAACTTAGTAATGAAAGAGTAATATAAAGAGACCGGCGACTGTCGCAAAACACTTTAAAGTTTCTTCAATAGTCCCATATACGTAATAAATACTTAAATTGTTGCTTGGGTTGCAAATGTCATGACACAATCAGGAAAGGTGTTGTATGTAATTAAGCCTCAATACAATATTGAGTTTTTTCCATACCTGGAGCTTTATATCCGGATGTTCCAAATTTAAACTTATTTTATATTTTAGTTTTTTTTAAATTTAGTTTAAATTTTGAATATCTACCAAGGTATACTCATCCTATCATTCAAATGTTATGGTTAGTGCTGATGATAAGGAATGAAAAGTCTATTGCAAAATATGTCCTCATCGAATTTAACTGGTATTTATCATTTATTAATTTACCTAGTTAATATTAAAAATTACTAAAAAACAATCGATACCTATTTTATTATAATAAAAAAAAATTTTACATATTGTTAGATCCTTTTCTTAAATATCAAGGAAAAGTTAAATTATGAATGTTTAACAAAGTTTGAAAAACGAATAAAAGTAAGGTATTTTTCTAATAATTTGGACCCCTCCTCCTTGCTGAGGTTTGGTGAGATGTGGTAGACCTCCGCTTATCCCTAACGTGAGATTTTAGCCATGAAACTTTCTTTGCGGACAACTTGATAAACCCCAAAAAAAATTAATAATTTTTTTAACAAAATTGAATTATAATACATATTCTTTAAACTAAAAAGTTGGCGTGAGATTTTCAAGTACCTAATATTATTACTTCATAACCATAAACATTTCAATATTTTCTAATTAAATTAAATAAATGATTGATTGATTTGGTAATATTAACCTTCTGCTACGTATAAAACTATTTTTTAGGGACTGATGTAACATTAATAGGTTGGGGCACTCAGATCCACGTGCTGAAAGAGGTGGCCCAATTGGCTAAAAGCAAGTTAAACGCGTCCTGCGAAGTTATAGACCTTGTGTCAATTTTGCCCTGGGACAAGGACACAATTTGCGAGGTAATTAGACAATTATCAACTATTATTAGTTAATTTCTATTAAACCTTGACTTAACCAATTAAACAAAATTACAAGAATGACATATCTCTATTTTAAAGATTAAAGTTTTGTTATTTTAGATTGTGTACATTTAAAAGTGCGTATTTAATTTAATTAAATGAGAGTCCTTTATAATTAAAATAAAAAGTACAGCATCCCTTTGACTAAAGAACATTAATTACAAGTAGTCTTGTTTCAAAGGAAATTTACTACGTTTAATTTTTAACCTATTTTCTAACGTATGCAACGTGTTTATTTCAGTCCGTGAAAAAAACAAAACGGGTCTTAATTTCGCACGAGGCCCCGCTCACTGGAGGTTTCGGTGCTGAACTGGCTGCCACGATACAGGTAAAGTAGTTTTATTTCTTTAGCACGAATTTTCATGTTTACATCGTAAATTTTCTAACATATTTACGGTGTTTACTGCAACAACGCTAATATAGTTTTATTTTCATTTGTTCATGTTATTTTGCTACTTAAAATATGGGGGGAAATAACACCTAGGTCAGGGCCGTAATAGGTCAATTATAAATATATTTATCTATGTTCAATTAAATTTGAAAAATAATAATTGTATTTGACCATGATATGTATTAGTAACCTTTATTTTTATTTAATATTCAATATTATTGTAACAATTATTGTATAAGTATAATAGAGTAATTGCATCAAAAATGAAAATCCCTAAAAACCTTTTTAATGTAATCTAGAGGTAAAAACACATTGCAAAAATATTTTTTTATATTCCAAAAGTTCAACCCGGCCCCAAAATATCAAATTGAAAAAAGGTACTTTTCAAACGTTCCGAACTCCCGCCATATTGCATGACGTCATAAGCTTCACCAGCTGTCAGAAATCAAGATGTCAACAAATAATAAACACCGATAAAGTTTATGTTTAACATGGAAAACGCGAAACCAAAAATTGGTTGTAAATATTGTTTTGTGCCTTGTTGTACAAATACAACCTGGAAAACTCCTGGGAAAGTTGTCCCTTCAATTATCAAAAGCAAAGTTTATGACCCTACACTGAGAGTAGTTACGGCTCAGCCGTATTTTCTTGAATTTATTAATATTTAACATACCTATTCAAACCATATACCTAGTAAACGACATTTTATTTTACTTACATTAAAATTATCCTTAAAATGAGCAATAAAATGGTGACGATGTTTTGATATCGCGCCGAGCTATTTTAATCCACTTTATCCTTATTTTCCCTTTTGGCACGGTGATAAACCTTTTCCCAGGAGTTTTCCAGGTTGTATTTGTACAAGGCACAAAACAATATTTACAACCAATTTTTGGTTTCGCGTTTTCCATGTTAAACATAAACTTTATCGGTGTTTATTATTTGTTGACATCTTGATTTCTGACAGCTGGTGAAGCTTATGACGTCATGCAATATGGCGGGAGTTCGGAACGTTTGAAAAGTACCTTTTTTTCAATTTGATATTTTGGGGCCGGGTTGAACTTTTGGAATATAAAAAAATATTTTCGCAATGTGTTTTTACCTCTAGATTACAATAAAAAGGTTTTTAGGTATTTTCATTTTTGATGCAATTACTCTATTATAATTTTTAAATACTCATTTCATTTTAGTATAGACAGAGCTTGAATAAAAGTCACAGATTATTTTAATAATATTAAATAAATCAAAATTATATGTATTATTTTTTTAAATATTAAACAGTGTCCTTAGGGTACGTATCCCACGCTATATGGGGGGATATTTTAGGCATATAAAACTACATTTTTCTAAAAACGATAAACTACGCATCTGGTTTGTTTTGTGAATTTAAGATCCAAATAAAAAATAAAGTTTTTTTTAATTGGATTTTTATTAAAAATATTATGCACTCTTTTAACTATGCACTTTAAACTTTTGAATATTTATATACATTGTATGGCAAAACGTTTAAATCAGTTTAAACATTATTTAATTTTCTTAATAAATAGTTTCTGATACTTTCTTATATTAATGAACTCTTTTTTACAATATGCAATTAAAATTTTAATTTAACTCTTAAACGTTTACATTTGTTTCCTTTATTAAAAATGTAACTAAGCTGGGGCGGATTAAGACAGTTCGCCGACTAGATTCTGTGAAGCAGCATCAAGATTGCACATTTAACCATTGCAGTGTTGTCAGCTTGTGCTTTGTGACGTCACACACTGTAAATCGGTACTATTTTTCGAGAGATAGGATTTCTACAATAAGCTCGGTAGCTCGATGAAAGGGCGCCTGCTTTGCATGCGAGAGATACGGGGTTCGATACTTGGCGCCTCTACAACTTTTTTTAATTTTTTTTTATAGATATATACCGAAATAATACAATTTGGCCTTAAAAGCATTTATATTTAATTTTACATTAATATTTTAATTTATTTACCTTTCCTCATAATCATTTTGCTACAGTTATAATATAAAATGTAATTAAATGAATATTCCTTGGTTGAAAAATTTTTACTCAATGGGGCGGGTGGGGGCCAATGGGGCGGGGTCGGTTGGGTTGGGTTGTTGGGTTGGTTTCGAAGCCGGCCGACCATAGAAAAACCGTCTTATCATAAAAAGTATCCTTAAATGCGATCTTAGTTGCATATATTCAAGTTCTGTTCCAACTGGCAACACTGTAAATGTTGAATGTGCAATCTTGATGCTGCTACACAGAATCTAGTGTTCGCCGCCCTAGGCAGATGCAGAATTGCCGCCCTTTTCCGATCTTCTTTTACTCCCCCTAAGTATAGTTCCGTTAACGTATGTGAAATGTGTATATTACAGGATATAATAGATTTTAGGTTAGTCATATGATCAATAAGTTCAGATAAATAGAGATTAATAATACTGTACCAGTGGCGGCTCGTCAGGGTAGGCCTCTGAGGCCGCGCCTCACCCTTAAAATGAAGGAACGAACGACTTTTTGTATTTATATTTTTGCCTATTACAAGTGTATTTTTACAACAGTTCTACCCAATAAAAAGTAAAAAACCAATCAATAATATTAAGCGTAAATAAAAATCCAGGCGCAAAGCGCGTCAAGTTAACGTGCATGCATCGTTGAGAGTCGCTTGTTGTATGTATCTTGGCTTGGACAGAGGCGAAATTTTCACAGCCTCGGAAGCTCCCATTTACGTCTTGAAAGCGAAAATGACTCACCAACAAAAATATCGCCGTAAGTTCGCGAATAAACACCGTAGATGAGGCGTAATTAAGTTAGCTTGGTTTGTTTTGATTGGTGGTCCGTTTATGGTGGGATGCCAGCGGAGACAAAGAAGGTTGCCATGCGGACCCATACTTACCCCACCTCAGTCTCTCACCCAATCCCATAACTACTATGCTATAGTAACTCAAACCCACCCAAGCAAAACCTCTCCTCAAAGTAAAGGCAAAGGGTCCACATGACCCGCCTTTTGCTAGGGCAATAAGCCCAGTTTTTGTCATTTGGAGGCTACATTTAGAAGGTTGCCAGTCTTCTCTTAGCGTCTGTAGAGCACGTTATTGTTTTGATTCAGATTAAATTATTTAAAACTTTTGGCTGATCTTTTATAGTTTTTGTCTCGATTAGTAAAATTTCTTATTTAATTATTGTAGGGAACACACTAAGGTAGATTTAGCAGTTTTTATTAAGCAAATTTTATATTTTGAAATAATAGATTGCATAATTCTTCAATTAGAGACGCGGTTTGAAAATTTAGAATTACTTTTAAATCTCACTGCAGACCAACAATTTTACGACCAAATAATAGATAAATTTTCAATCTTAAAAGATAGACGTAGGTATAGTATTTTATATTTTTTAATACTTAGGTAGGGGTCGACTTTTTAATTTTATTTTTATTTTTTGATTAATTTATTTATTTTTAACTTTTTTAAGACTATTTTTTTATGTTTAAGATTAAAACTAGTCTTTGATGTGATATTTTGTTTGTTTTTTTTTAGAGTTTATTTTTTGGTTTAGTAGTGCTATCGGCTCCATTTTAAAAAAGGTCAACGCGTCGGAGAATAATACGGTATTATTAATACCTCCCGGGTGACGTGGAAATTTATTCGTATTTAGACAAAATTAACCTTATGTAGCCTCACCCTTCTGTACACCCACGAGCCGCCACTGTACTGTACGTAACATTATTTATTCGTTTGGATTTTTTCCCATCGTTTTCACAATTAATACGGTAATTACTATTAGTATCATTATAGTTTTATAAACAAGTTTGTCACGTATAGTTACGAAGTGCAAAATCATGAATGACCTGATTGCAATCTATTGAACGTATAATTTTTGCCTCTATAAATAATACACCCAAGTAATTCAAGCGAGTTTGACACATGGTTAACCTCAAATAATTTTTGATCCGCTTCAAACAAGAAAACGATCTCTCACCACTGCAATTCTTAATAGCCATGCAATAAACATCCTATATGAGATAGGGTTTAAAATGGATAAGTTCATCAACTCTTGAAGTTTCTAAATCTTGACTGAACGCTTCTTGTAAGTTTTTTGCTTTTTCCCGTATATGAACATTATCCAAATTTTCCAAGTCAATGAGAACAGATAATTTTTCGTTGATTTTCTCATGTTTCGAGCATCTTTCGCTTAAATCAAACAACAAATTGTCAAAAATGACATTGTATATAGTGTTGACTTTAAAGTTATCTTCCTAGGGTTATCTTTACCAAGCAGTGTCACCAAAGATAATACTATTATTATCATTATTATTATTATTGTATTATCTTTGAGTGTCACCTCTCCGGTTCTTGTTTCGTCGTCATAGTTTTTCTACGTCTCACTCTGCTGACAAGGGTTTTGTACTCTTGGTTGATTGAAAAATCAAATGCTTTTTTTTTCGAAATAGTTAAAGTCTTCACGTTCATTACCTACAGTTTTGATTAGACTATTATACAATTGAACTACTTCACTGAGGTGAGTTGATTGAATTAAATTTTTTTTATCACAGAATTGAATCTGGGAACTAAAAAACTCCACAAACATTGCATAAAAGCTGTCTCCAATGATTCAAAACGATCCCGAATCCCTTTGTCTTCACTCTTTTTTGTGAAAGATCGTTTTCTATGATATACAAATCCTAAAGTATTTCAGTGTAAAACTGATCAACTGTACAAACGGCGTCATTGCGAGATGACCAACGTATTATTGAAAGTGATTTGACAGTTAATATTTGAGATTTTCCGCAGCAAGTTTGAAGAATCTCCTAACGACTCGTAGATGCTAAAAGTTATATAAACTCTGAAGATCATTAAAGCAATTGGCAGCTGTTGAACAGCTTTCAACCGCATGATATGTAAGTGCCAACCAAATTTAGATAATGTGTAGCACAAGGAACGTATTCGGCATATTCGGTGTAATTTTTAATCAACTGTTGGAGCCCCGCATATATCCCTGACATATTCCTTGCAGTATCATATGACTAACCTCAACAATTTTTTATTTCAATTCGTAGTTTTCAGCGTAGAACTTACAACATCATCCATATCAACAGCCTTGTGGCATACATTTTGAAATGTCAGGTGTGGAATCGACAATTATAGGGTAGCATAAGTAACATCTGGAATAATTATATCTAATACCTTGCTAGCCAAGATTTGAATAAACTCCTCGCAGATGGTTTTTGACACATAACTAGTACTACCGATGCCTTTATTTCCGAATCTAGAAATATGGTCAGCCAAAAATGGATGGAATTCAGCTATCAATTCCAAAGACATCAAGTAATTTTCGTTGTGAAGAGAACCAAACTTTTCGTGGTGCCCTCTAAAGATAAACCCTTGATTACGGTGACAACCTGTTTTAAAACATTTTGCCAGTAGGCCACTTTTTTATCATATTCAGCTGTTAGAGCTTTGTCAATTCTACCCAAGGCAGATCTTTAAAAGATTTCAAGCACCTTTGATATTTCTTGAAATTTTCTTGCTTAATGATTCTTACGACTGCGTTAACGCAAAAGATGTTCCAATCGCTAAATCCATCTTTGTCTGCAAAATATGATTCGCCGCCAAAAAGAAAACATGGAGCACAATATACGGATCCTTTGCTTTTAGAATATACTAACCATACATGTTGATTTTTTTCACCATTCAAAAGTTTTCTCTCGAACAATGATAAATTTACCCTTTTCGAACTCGCCAAATCGAGATGCTTATTTTGATTGCATTATAATCACGGAATGAGTCGTTTATTACTAATTCTGCAGTCATTTTTCCGTCGAACTCTGTTAGTTTCATAGGTTCTGTGGACCCTCCTCCAGAAGTTTCTTGATCACCAATCTCATCTACGATAAAATATTGGAGATTATCCCTGAAACCGACAGCCCAAAAAGTAGCGTTATATAATAAACTATAATAATAAATAATAATAAACTTTATTAACGGTAAAAGAAAACCATAAAATACAATAATAAGAATAACAATTGTTATAGGTTTAAGTCACATATTCAGCAGTAATACTACACTAATTTTTAGCCTAAGTTGTTTCTTGAATTGAACTAAGTTCAAAGAAAAAAAATTTAGTTCAAATTTGTTCGCCAATCTGCACCCCCTATCGATCGGAGAATAGTAACCATAATTAGTTCTAGCATATATGCATATTAATGAAGAATAATGGGGTATGTATAGTTTGTGACACAGACAAACGAATGCTATACAGCAATTCTGAGCTGTTTATAAGGTTATTGAGTATTTTATAAACGAATAGAATATCAAACTCCTGTCTCCTAATCGATAGTGGTTGCAGACCTACCAACAGTCTCAGTTCTCTATAATTAATATTTTCAACTCTTATGTTGAGTTTAAATGCACATAGGCGAAGAAACCTATCTTGGACACGTTCTAAGGCAGTTACATAAGCATTATAGTGCGGTGACCACACTACACAGTTAAACTCTAAAATTGAACGTATATATGAAATAAAAATATTTTTAAAGCAATTAATATCGTAAAAGTCCTGAAGTTGTCGTCTGACAAAGCCTAACATACGATAAGACTTATTAATAATTAAGTTAACATGATTACTAAACGTAAGCCTATTATCAAACAGCACTCCAAGATCTTTAATTGAGTTCACAACCTCTAAAACATTGTTATCAATAGAATAGCAAAAAACAATGGATTTTTGTTCCTAATAATAATAACCTTGCATTTTTTAATATTAAGTTCCATACAATTCAACTCGCACCATGAATTTAGAGTGTTCAAGTCAGACTGCAACTTACAACAATCATTAAGTGATTTAATTTCAAAAAACATTTTCAAGTCATCCGCAAATAGAAGGAATTTGCAAAACTTTAAATTTAAATTAATATCATTAATAAAACAGTTGAATAATAGAGGTTGTAGCGTTTACTACGCTACAATATTTTATTGTATTATATTTTAAATTAATAATATTGATTAAATAGTCAGTTAATACTGTTAGCGCCATCTATCGGTGAGTAGATCTGCGCATTTCCTTAATTAGTTCAATTTGCTACCTGTGAGATTGGTGAAGCGTAATCCAGCCATTTTGGGCATTGTTGATTATACGAGTGGTGTGTCAAGACGTCAATTTTTGAATCCTTGCATGGAGAAGTCATCCTGTGGATTATATTGGATATTTTGTTGTGAAAGCAAAGACGAAGCAGTTGAGTTTATTTAGACATATATATTTTGATTTATTTGGAGTGAAATCCGAGACGTCGAAGTTTGGCATGCGTAAGTTTGTAGGTTAATTTTTATTCCGGCTTTTTCCTAAGTCGTGTGTGTACTATTTTTAGCACTCGTATAATAACAATCAAATACATCCACTCTGTGTCCGAGTCAGAACTAGTTGTCCAGGAAATTCCACGAATGGAGTTGTGCCTTGGGGCCGAGAAGGCAAAAGCAATGTTTTTGATTTGGAATGGTATAAATACCGCTTAAGTTGGTTGTCTCTACGGCTGTTGGCTGTGTCCGAGTTAGGAGCTGATGTTTTGGCAGAGTGCTGCTGAAAACTGGTTGAATTACCTATACTGCTACGTATATGGGTTCGAATAGTCCTACGCTGTACAAATGAACACTATGTCTGCATTGTCAAGGCTGCTACAGTGCTGCTGGATTGCTGTTTCCTCCTGAGGAAGACTGAGTCACCGTTGAACCGTTACTGAGTAGATATTAATTTTAAGTTTTATTTAAAAATTGAGACTACAGTTCTCATTAAGAGTTTTAACATTTTATTTTTTTATATTGCGCCTATTCTTAATCTCATTTAAAACCAAGACCTGTAAATCAAAGATAGCTATCTACGATAACTTTTACTTAAGGGTATGCCCATTGCAGATGCAAGTTAGGTGTAATATTACAGTACTTATATTATGTTGATATTACAACATTACGATATCGATTTTAATTATTATTTTTTTAATAAAGAACTGTAGCTGACAGAGAAGTTTTATTGCTACTGTTGTTATCATAATACCATGCCAAGCCTTTAATGTAGATCATTATTAGATTTATTTGATATATATATATTTGAAGCTTAATATATATATATGTACTTAACCTATTTTATTTAGCATAAGCTTCTGGCGCCCATTGAACAATACCAAGGTTTGTATTTCCTACTCCCAAATGCCCGACTGATTCCAGTTAGCCGTTCGCAAAGGCCTTATAAAATTTACTAATTAGTCCTATTTCCTACTGTTATAACATCAGGACATAAAAATAAGGTTACACAAATGGCGCCCTTTTAACGTGGTTTTTTACGACTGGTATTGTTCAAATTTTGAATTTTTATTTATTTTGGTTTGGTTTATGGAAGCAATAGGAGCAATAATTTTTGGAGTACAGTGCTTCAATGGTGATTTAGATATACAGCGTAGGCCAAGTTCATTATTTTAGTTTCGGTATTATTTTGGTTGAGAATATTTAGTACAATTGATACTAAAGTTTGCTTATTTGGGTTTATTTTTATAGTGATTTTCACTATTTTTTATGTTATGTCAGAGCGATATAACATAAATTTTTTAAGTTGATTTGATGTTCACAAAATTTTGTATTATTGTCAGTGCGATATAATATAAATTTTGGGTTTTGGGACGAAGAGTTATTGGTCACTCTTGAAAGGTGGTAAGTACTTATGTTATGTCAGAGCGATATAACATAAATTTTTTAAGTTGATTTGATGTTCACAAAATTTTGTATTATTGTCAATGCGATATAATACAGGTTTTGAAATTTTGAACTCGATCATTTTTATCGTTATATTATATCCGTGATACGTGTTACGTTATTATCGTGATATAATATACATAAAATTTTGGATTTTCGAATTTGGATTTGGCGAATGGAGGACTGGCGTAATTTTCAATATTGCTACCGGGAGCCTGGGGAAATTTGTTTGTTTTGACTTTATAGTTAACTTAAGCGTAATAGGAGCTTTACCTATTAGGGTTGGTCAGGATCCTTTCCTCTTCAAGGATAAATTTGCGTATATATTAGTTTAGTTTTCTGACATTTATTTGTACTTAGATTTTTCTTTTTCACAACCTTTCAAATTTTAAATTTTATTAGTAACTCTTAGGCACAGTTTGGTAATCATGGAGAACTTAGACAAGATGGACATCCGATTTTTGACGCATGATCAAATTAGTTATGAATTAAGAATACGGGATTTAACTGCAAGAAATAATAGGCCGTCGCGTATAAAAACCTTGGGTAGAGCTATAGTTAGGGAGACGGAGGACTTAAGTTATGTTGATCCGGAATTTAATTTTGATGACGAAGTAAAATATATAAATGAAACTTTAGAGTCTATTGAAAGTTTACTTAAAGATCTTAATGAATATGAATACGGAATTTCAGATCTAAAAAAGATTAAAACCAATTTAGTTTATATCAGTAAGCGAGTTAATCGATTCCCAGTAGTAGAAGGCAAAGAATTGGCAAGAAAAAAGTTTATAAGTATTTCAAAAGCTACATGTTTAGAGTTAGAGTCAGATTTAGTAGATTATCATAAATTATTACTAGATAAAAAAAATGACGACCCAGAAATATCCAATATATTTCAACCATCTGAGGCTTCACCTCATAATTCTAGTAGTGTAAATAATATTAATTCGGAGATTTTAAAAATAGTACCAGTGTATAAATGGGGGGTTAATTTTGATGGTAGTTCTGATGTTTTGCCTTTTATTGAAAAAGTAAATTATTTAAAAGTTAGTAGAAATGTTTCTGATGATTTGTTATTTAAATCTGCCTACGATTTGTTTAAAGAACCTGCTCTTTCCTGGTTTTTGTCAATTAAGGATTCGATTAATTCGTGGCCTGAACTTGTAGAATGTTTAAAGAGGGACTTCATACTTTCAAATAGTGATGATAAAGTTTGGGATGACATAAGACGGCGTTATCAAAATTCCGGGGAAACTATTGCGGTTTTTATAGGTAATATGGAGACTCTTTTTAAAAGATTGGTTCGTCCTGCTAGTGATTATACAAAGCTTAGGCACATTAAGGAAAGAATTTTGCCACATTACTTTACTCCATTATCTCTAGTAGACATAAATAGTTTAGATGATTTAAGAAAACATTGTAAAAGGATTGATGAGGCTTATGCTCTCAAGCAGAAAAATATTGCGGGTAAAAATCAATCAAGTAATAAATTTGTTCCTAGGGTAAATGCCATAGAAAATGATAATGCGTCTTATAATAGCCCAAGTACTAGTTTTTCTCCTAATAATAGTGTACCTCGATCTAGCAGTTCTAATAATAATTTGAGAAATAATAATAATAGTAATTTTAAAAGTAATAATAATTTTAAAAATAACAGTAACTTTAAAAATAGAAATTTTCCTTCAGATAGTAGTGGTAAACCAATAATTTGTTATAACTGTTTGCAGCCAAATCACTTATTTAGTATGTGTTTAGCAAAACGCACAAAATTTTGTTATAAATGTGGGAAAAAAGATGTCACAGTAAAAGAATGTTCTACCTGTTCAAAAAACTTAGTTTGAGAGTGGGAAATTTTGGTCATTTTTCACTCAATATCAAGACCAATAATAATAAAAAATTTAGGGATTTTGAATTTAGTAATAAACATAATAGTAATTATCTTTCAATAAATAAAATAAATAGTAATAATTTTAAAAGTCAAAAGCAATTTAAGTCAGGATATTTAACCAAGCAAGAGTGGGAAAATTGGATAACAAAAGTAAGGGTATTTTATAAACAAAATTTTATTTCGATAT